AGACACTGGGCACTCATCTGTGTAGGGGACAGAAGCACAAAGCTGGAGATGGTTCATCACTCTTAGTCTGAGAAAGATGTGCATTGACTGAGTAGGGCATGGAGACCTTTAGAAAGAAGTCTAAGTAGATGACACAGCCCAGGAGAACTGCCAGGCACTGCCACACTGCCTCCTCCATTGCCACTGACTGGAAGAAAGAAATGCTCAAATGTAAAGGGCCATTCACATTAGGACTTGTCCAGTACACAACATCTAGACAGGCACCAACAAGGACTCAACTCATCAACACGAAACACAAAATCTAACCTCTCTGAGTGTCGGTTCTTTTTACTTCCCTAGTACTGGGGATTGAACCAGGGTGTTTGCACTGAGCTACATCCCTAGCTCTTTTTAAAATTTTGAGACAGAGTCTCACTAAGACACCAAACTACCTGGGCTGGGCTCTAACTTGTAATCCTGCATCGGCTCCCAGAGTGCTGGTATTGCAGGTGTGCACCATCACACCGGCTTGTTATTCTCTTTATTTGGCAAATAACAGAACCTGGCAAACAATAAGCTATGCTCGGTGCCACGGCTCATATTGTAGCTAAAACATTAAACCATGAACATTAGGATGTCAGATGCCAAGAAGAACTGGCCCAGTAACTCCTAAACGCTGCCAAGGCAAAGCGAAGTCAAGGGTTACTATTCAAAAAGCCCTCAGCAGTCACGGTACCTGATGTTTGTTAGAACCATAACTTTATAACTCTGGGTAAGCACCATCAGTAAGAAAACAACTACATCTCTACATGCCCTTTAGACACAGATTCTCTGAAAAAATGTTGAGGGCTTTGATTTTCCTATGAACTGAGCTATAAACTTATAGATAAGCAGTAATTTTAAATTGCTGTTTCTGGAACATGAATTGAAAAAGGTGATTGGTTTCTTAACATAAAATGTTTGTTGCATGTTGAATATGTTTTAAAAGTAGAAATTTATGGCAAATAAATTTGATTTATTAAATTAAAAACTTTTAGAAATAGCGATTCATGCTACCAATGATCACTAAGAAAATCAATTATTCCTGGCTAATTCACTGTTTTATTATTCATATGATCACTAAAATGAGCTATAACTTTTAAAATTCATTTAAAAGTCAATATAAATACAAAGGCTGCCCACTGGGAAATATCTAGCGCAAAAACTACAACGCCCTAGGGTGCTATAATTTCTCTTCTCAATTCCTATTCTTCATGTACTTATTTAAAACGTAGCAAAGTTTATTCACCATGTTAAGACTCCTACTCCTTTCTGAAGTAGTTCTTGATCCCAAATGTCACATTAGAAAGAAGTGTTGTGGGATCATTTTTTTTTTTAATGCTGAGGTTCGGACCCAGGGCTTTGCACAGCACTGTAACCAACACTCTACCACCAAGCTACATCCTTAGCCCCCAGCTTGGGATCTCTTTTGGAAAATATAAATACCATGATCTATAAGGCAAACATTTATTTAAATACATGGAAAACAGCCTTCTCTAAGAAGAAAAGGTCCCTGATTTCTAGGATCCTAGAGGGAAATATAATGGTCCAAGATTTCCGGTCACAGACTGAATGTGGAATAACTAACAACAACAGACCATAATTCTAAGCATGTTTTATATTTTCAGTGCTGCTTCCTATATGAAACAAAGACCTGTTAGCCTGACTACAACAGTAACTTTTCCTTTTTAAATAAAGACTTGAGGACTTCCCGCACTGATTATCAGATCTTGGGTAGAGAAGGGGAAAGTATAATTCTATGAAGAAAACTGGAGAAACCCTCAGGAGGAGAATTAATCACAACTAGATATTCCAACAGAAAGAAAAAATCAGATTATGTATTTTAAAAAAAGGAAATGGCAGTGAGACCATGTCTCAAAAACTGAAAAAATAAAAGTAAAGAAACAGACAGGCATGGTAGCACATGCCTATAATCCCAGCACTCAGGAGGCTGAGGCAAAAAGATGGCTTTGAGTTCAAGGTCAGCCAAGGTTACATAGTGAATTCAAGGCCAGTCTCAACTACATAGTGCAATCTGGACTCCAAAAAACCATTTTTTTTTTTAAGTTAAAAAAAAGGGGAGGAAAAAGACAGAACATTCTTAGGCTTTACTTTCTTCTCATGTAAGAAACTAAATATGCTTTCCATTGGTGTCCTGGACTTCCTAACCAGGCCTAACCAGGGTTCGGCTGAATCCTGTCTGCTCTTTCTACTTAACTGGACCAAGCATGCTTAAAAGTCGGAATGATCTTCTGCAAGTAGTTTTGCTTTGTTCTGTTTGGAAAAGAAGGTGATATTTGCTCAATAATCCTCCTTTGGAGTCAAACTGCTGAGCATAGTATCCTGGTTTTACCATGTGAGCCATTTTCATGAACATGAAATGCAACTGCTCAGTCCTAATTTATTTTCTACCAGCAGCTTTCCTTTTGGGGAAAGAAGGTTTAGAATACAGCAGACTCATTCCCTCAGGGCTAAATCTGTGGGATGCCTGGACCATTGCCCATGCCAAGGCAAGGCAAAAGTACACTGTGTATCTTTGATGTGAATATTCTGAAGGAATTGTCTTATTGTATCAAGAAGGACATCAAAGAAACCCCAAGGTTAAGGCTGCTGCACACCCTGTTCTATTTCATCACACAACAATGAATATATGCTCTAAAATCAAACAAATCAACACACAAAAAAGCCACTTCACATTTTTTTCAGTGTGTTCTCAACGAAAGTGGGCAGGAGACCCTCAAGAAGCTAAGTGTTAGCCCAGCCTCTACACTGTCTCAATCAAATTACAAATCATTTGATTCTTCAATTTAACGGTTTTGGTTTCAGAAGAATTCGAGAAATAATAACCAGAAGACAACACAATGTTTTTCCTACGTCTTCTAAATCAATGTTAAACAGTAAAACAACAGGGCTAACATTGGCTTGTGTTTTTTTCTCACCATACTAGATTAATAATGGTAAACCAACATAAAAAGTCAGAAACAAGTGTTCTTATGTAACAGTCGGCTATTTGGAGGAGTCAGTGGACAGAGGGCTAAACTTAGCCTCTGTGTAAGAAGCACTCTTACACCGAGGGCAGCAATAGTCAGATGGGAACTGGTTGTAAGACTGACACCTACCACATGGTAAGGTATCCTCTTTAGCAACACAACAGCAATTTAATGGGTAAGGTTATTTAATCCACAAAACGTCTTGACATTAATCAAAAGTCTCCCATTAGAGCACTATTTTCTAATATCTACACCGTGTTTTGGGAGCCAATTTCTAGGGGAGAAAAAACCAAAACAACACAAGGCAAAAATCTGCACTACCGCCAGGATCCCAAAGACAGCCAAATACTTAATAGTTTATGTTCCAAAAGTCTACTAAAGTACTGTGAAATTGCAACAATGTTGTATTCCTTTTAAAACAGTGATAACTTACAGTGAGAGCTAGTGTGAGTTTTTTTATTGTAAAGACGAACTTATAGATGTACTTCTAATACTATATACCACACACGATCACATATGTGTAAAAACAGAACAGTGCACACACACAGTGTGAACATGGAAGCAAAGTGAAAGGAGACTAGGCTGGCTGAGTAATTTTTTCCCTTAGGAGCACTTGCTGGAATTGAGAAAACTTCATTCCAAGTGCTCTGAAAGAACAGCACAAACACTTCCTACTCAGAGGTCGAGACAATCTGGCCTGGTTTCTCAATGCAGAGGTCAACTAAAAACCTCAAGGATGCTTTGTAATTTTTCTTTGGAGACAGGTCTCGCTGTGTGCACAGGCTGGCCTTCATCTCGCTGCAGTACTCCTCCCTTGCCTCCCTGGAGCTGGGATTACACACAGGTACCACCATGCACCGCCTGCTTTCTAAATTCAAACACTTTTTGTTTAATAATACAGAGGAGTTTTCCTTCCTCTTGATATCAAAAGCTAAATCAGCCATAATCAGGTAATCAGGTATAAAGATATAAAGCTGCAAAGGAAACCAATACGGGGCATGGCGACGCACGCCTATAATTCCAGCTACCTGGGGGGTTGAGGCAGGAAGATGGCAAGTTAAGAGGTCAGCTTTGGAAACTTAGCAAGACCTTGTCTCAAAACAAAAAAAATAAAAAAGGGTGGGAGATGTAGCTCAATGGTATAGCACCTGGGGATTCAATCCTCAGTACTGCAAAAAAAGGAAAGAAACAAAAGAAAAAACAACAGTCGGAGGGAAAAAGTATAACATTTAATTTCTGATAATATAATTGATTAAAAACTCTAATATCTACTTATAGCTAAAGTAATTATTTATAAGAAATGAACTATTCTGGCTTTATTATAAAATGATGAAGTTGTAGAGTTAAAGTCAAAACAAAACATTCAAAAGAAGCTATGATCTTTACTATTTTATGTTTCCTCAAAGCTCTGATATTTTCCTAAGTTCTACAGTCAAATGCAACAAAACCATACACCACTTCTATCACAGACACAAAAGCAATTACTCCAGTAAACAATAAAATTAAAAACTGTGAAATAACAAAGTTAAGGATCTATACATGTAAGCACAATTCTGAAGGGAAGAAGTGGCAGAAAAATTCTCACTTTTAAAGAGGAAAACATTCCCTTTAGTCCTCAAAGAACTAAGAAAAAGGAAGCTTTTGTGGCCTAGCTTCTGGAATTCAAGGTGATATGGTTTTTAAATAGACAAAAGGATGAAAATGAATAAAAATATAATTCAATAAAAATATGATTCATGTTAAAGAAAGACGTCATGCTGGGCCCACCCATTCAGGCCTCACTTATAGGTGTCAGATTCATTTTTACACCGTGAAGGAGCGAACTGCAATTTAGATGGAACACTGCTCATTCATGCCTGTGGATGCTCTCATTAAGGCTGATAAACCAGTGCAACAAATTTTTCTGCCTGGGATTCAGTATCAACTAATCACCTAGACAGTTAGAAAAATTAAATCGTAGGACATACATGTAGGCATACATAGAGGAGTTACCTTCAGCTGGTTATTGAAAATATCAATCTCCTGCAGTTTTGACCTAGTTTCTTTTTCCACCTCATCCAATTGGTCACGTAGCTGCTGCCGAGCCAGTTCTTTTGCTTCTAAGGCTCTTTTGAGAGTAAGAAGCGAATCTCCTATTTTAGAAAATGATTGCAAGATAGGAACAGCTTCAACTGACAGCAATGAAAATGTTATTTAATGTTTTCATGTCACTTCAGGAAGTTCTTGCTATTAAAGAAGGAAAGAGTAGGGGCTGGAGATACAAAGCAGGGTACGCTTAGCACACTCATGAAATCCTGGGTTTGATCCCCCAAACTAACAAAAGAGAAAGACAGGGAAAAGTTCAACTTTTAAAAATAAAACACTTACTGTGCAAACTATTCTGCTGAACTTGTTTTAATTGGTCATTGAGTATCTGTTTTTCTGGAATAAGTCTTCCAAGCATTTGTTGAGATTCCTAGAAGGAAAGGAGGAAATGAATGACAGTGAGTAACAGGAAACACTATTCTGTACACATTCAGCACTTCAGTCAGTTTTCTTGTCCCTCAGAGTCACTCCTGATCTCATCCTAAAACCTTCATGATGAACATCGTTAATCCTTAGTGAGGGTGGCTTTTGCTTTGTCAAGGAATGAATTTTTTGCCAAATATTTTTCACCAAAATATTAACAAAGCAGTTATAACTTCCTTGATATTGCTTACATTTTGGCTGACTTTCTGAATATTCATAAGGTTTTTAAAAATACATTTTAAGTACAACACTACAGAAAAAAAAAAAAACTGAAATAAAAATTTCTCAACTGCATGGGGATCAAGAACAAACACAGTGACCTAGCTGCTTAGAAGGTAACTCAGTAGGAAGCATTCTATTATTTTCATCTAAACTTTGATGAATAATACAGCTGAATTTAGGTTTACCATATACTTGACGATAGAAACGAAAATTAAAAAGTGATTTGTCAGAGCTGAGGATTTAGCTCAATGGCATAAGTGCCTGCCTTGCAAGCACATAGTTGTGAGTTTGATCCCTGGTACCAAAAAAAAAAAGTGATTTGTCAAGACTAGAGTCTAACCTGCCATACATGCTTTTCCATCATGCAGGATGAAATTTTAAACAGGTACCCAAAAGTCCTAAACTAGCCATCTTTTAACTGACACAAGAAAAAAGCTAAAACCACATATTATACAAGGCTCTTTGGGGTTTTCATGGAGAACTTGCCAAGCATAGTAAGTTCACTGAAATTATGGTACATAATTTCTCCATGTCTCAGTAAAATGGCAGCCTTTCCAGGATAGAATAAGGAATGCTTTACTTTTTACTATGATTAAAGAACAAAAAAGATCTCTAAGGGGCCGGGATGTAGGCCAGGGTTATAGTGCTTGCCTAGCATCCAGGATACCCTGGGTTCAACTTCCCGGACTGCCAAAAAAGCAAGCAAGCAAGCAAACAAACAACAATGAAATCTAAAAGATCTCCAAGTGCTGACTTTTGGTTTGAAAAAATAAAAATGCCTTAGATAAAAACATTCATCAGAGGGTCAAAATCAATCTCTTGGAACACCCACCTTTAGTTCGAGACTGGCTTTGTGTGGAATAAATCTTTGTGTACTCTCGGCCTGAATCAGGCAGAGGCTAGCACAACACAGAGGGTTTAGAAGCCTGTTCTATGAATAAGCAACTCACCCTCCCCCACCCCAAACCTTCAGGAAACAGAATACACAAATCAGATCATTTGCCAAGGAAGTGCAGCCAACTGAGTTTCTCCTCCTCCCCCTAAATTACAGCAACCTGTCCTCCTGGATCCCAAAGTTTCATTCCTGAACCCGGACGAATGTGAAGAAACGGTAAGCTGAAGCCTGGCTCAGATGATTCTATTTTACCTGAATAAACTTCACTTTAAAATGTATAACCTAAGTTTTAAAACAGGCTAAACCAATGCTAGGGGCTCCCTGACCCATTTGCAAAGTATCTGTTAATCCAAGTAAGGAAAGAGAACCAATATCTCACCTCCTGCTATGCAACCTCTCTGCTGCAAACTACATATTTTTTTACTTCTTTCCTTTCTCAAGAATCTTGACTGTATTTATTATTAATAGTTAAATGTGCTAAGTATCAGTCCTAAATAACAAAAATGTAACTTTTTATACAACATTTGGCAATAATACTTTTATTCTGAACAATGATCTTTAACCATGTTTTCCACTGAAATATTTTATGAAACTTTTCATCCACATATAAAAACTTGACACAGAATATAGCTTTAAAACATACATGCAATTGTAAAGTATTTTAAAACAATTTCTGCCAGTGAACTTCTGAACTAATCACTTAATATGTTCAAATTCCAAAATCTCAAACAGTTGAGAGCTATCTCTGGGCTTCCCAGGACACCTAACAATGAGCACAGCAAGTAAGCAGACAAACACAGAATGACAGTTCTCACACTCTCTTTCAGTGGCTGACTGAAGCAGTCACAGAATCAGTAAGGACAAAGGCAGAACTAGTTCTTCCTATTCCACCAGTCAAAGAAGAAACAACAAAGGAACTCTGAAAACCATTTTGAACAGAATATGAAATAAATACATGCCAGGTGTAGTGGTACATACTTACAACCACAGCACTTGGGAGGCAGGATCTCCATGAATTCAAGACCAGCCTGAACTTCGCCGGGTGTGGTAGCGCATGTTTACAATCCTAGTTCTCTGGGAAGCTGAGGCAGAAGGATCACAAGTTTGATCCCGCTATGGGCAATGTAGAGATTTAGCAAGAACCTGCCCTCAAAGCTGATAATTAAAAGGAATAGGAAAGTACTGAGTACAAAAGCCCTGGGTATCATCTCCAATTCCACAAAAAAGAAAAATGAAAAATCTGTGGGATATGGATATAGCAGCACTGAGAAGGAAATGTACAACTTAAATACATGTCATATATAAAACAGCCAAATTTAATTTCCAAGCTTCCTATGTAAGCTACAAAAATGAAAATCTGCCAGGGATATAGTTCAGTGGTGCAGCACCTGTGTGGCAAGTATGAGAGCATGAGTTTGACTCCTAGTAGAAAGACAGAAATACAGGAAGGAAGGAAGGAAGGAAGGAAGAAAGGGAGGGAGGGAGGGAGGGAGGGAGGAAGGAAGGAAGGAAGGAGAAAAAGAAAGGAAAGGAAAAAGAAAAAGGGAAAAAAAGAAAAGGAGGGAGAGAGGTAGGAGGACAGAAGGAAGGAAAAAGAAAAGAGAGGAAGGAAGCAAGGAAGAAAAAAAGGAAGTAAAATAGGAAGAAGGAAAGAAAGACAGGAAAACTTAAATCCGAAACAAGTAAATGGAAGGAAAGGATAAAGAAAAAGCTTTAGTAGTTGAAAAAGAGCCTAGCAAACACAAGGTTGTGAGTTTGATCCTTGGCGCAGAAACTAAAAAAAAGAAGAGGCTGGTCCGATGGCAGTGGGTTATCAGACCTTATTAACATTAGTGTCACTAAAGTTGGTGTACCACCCCCCCACCCTGCTAAATTTGACTGGCTTTAAAAAAAAAAAAAAAGAAGAAAAAAGAAATGAAAAAAAATAGCAAACAGACATATCATAGGGGAAAAAAATGAATAAACCAAAGGGCTTATTTTTAAAAAATCAATAGAAACAGTAAGTTTCCCACTAGGCTGATTAAAAATGCAGCAGGAGAAAGTAAGAGGAGAGAGACAGGCCATATAAATTACCAGTGTCAGAAATGAGAGATGGAACTGCGCTACAGACACAACAGACTCACAAAGAATAATCAAAATAACTATGTAAATAAACTTAATGATTTAAATGAATTATGGAATTCACTGAAAGTTATAATAAATTATCAAAATAGACCCAAGAAGAAATAAAGCTCATTAGTTATGTCAACTGAATTTATTATACAAATTAAAAATCCCATCATAAAGAAAAATCCAAGCCCAAAAGGCTTCACTGATAAACATCACTAAAATTTTAAAGAAACACCATTTCAACACAAATATCTAAAGTAGAGAAGAAATATTCTCCAACTTATTTTTGAGACTAGTATTACCCTGATACCAAAAACAGAAAAGGACTTTATAAGAAAATTAAAAATCAATATCCTTCATGAATTTAAGGGAAAATAAATGGTAAGCAGAACTAGTAAAATATTTTTTATAAAGGAATTCCCTAAACTTGATACAGGGCATCTACAAAAAAAAATCAGTCAGCAGAGATAATGGTAAAAGAGCTTCCTTCGAAACTTTAGGACAACTTCCACTCAGTATGGTATTAGAGGGCTCGCTCAACACAGTGAGACAGACAGACAGGCAGCCAGACAGACATGCACTCATACACATAAAAAGTACACAAAGGTGTAAGACAGACAGACAGACAGACAGACAGACACACACACACACACATACACACACACACACACAGTCTACAAAGGTGTAAAAAGTATACAAATTAGAAAATAAAGAAATGAAGATGTGGTATGTTACATACATAGAGACCACTACAGAAGCTATAGAAAGTTCTTTCACTAGAACTAAGAAATTAGTTAAATAACAACAGATACAAGACATATATTATATACAAATATAGTTCTAATGACCTAAATCAACTGACAGATATGCCTTAAGATTCAATATTAAAGTGTCAAATCTTCCCAAACTGATCTATATTTCAACAAAAATTTCAACAAAATTCTAGTTTTGAAAAAAATCAATAAGCTGATTCTAAAACTTACAAGGGAACGACATTAAACAGCCAAAAATCAAATCTGAAGAAGAATAGTACTAACAAAAAACTAACACCTTGACCTCAAATATTATTCAAAATCTGTAATTATTCTGTGTGGGAGCTGGTAAGAGGACACTCACAAATGGAGAGAACAAAAGAGTCTGAAACAGACTTTTTACAAATGCATTCAGGTAAGTTGTAACCATCGGTGCCACTGGCAGTGTACTTAGGGATAAACACACACTTAGGACACAGCAATCAGTGCCTGCTTCCACAGCACATACACTAAACTGGAGAGATTCAGCATTCCATCCCAAAACAATTTACCGAAGAGAAATGAAATATTTTTCCACAGCAGAGGCTCTTAGGTAAATGTTCATTGCAGTTTTATTTATAAAATCCTCAAGCATGAAGGAAGAGTATGAATCGACAAGTGAGCAGGCCGATAAGGAAACAGTGACAAAAAGGGACACACTCACCCAGTAGCAGAAACAAATCTAAGAAACCCACTGAGAAAGAAGCTTGACATGGCGAAGTCACTAAATCCAAATATGACGATCTATAGGCAATACCTGCCTGAATTCAATGCCTCTGTAGTTCAATACTCAGTACCAAACAGGTGATATTACAGTCAAATTCAGACAGAACTACACGGCACTCCAGCACATCTCCAACTAAATCTCTCACATCCTCCGTCCAATTCTTTATTTCTTTATTTTTTGTCTTTTTGAGACCGCGTCTCTACCTCAAAACCCAGAAACCCAGAAATCCTAGTGTCTCAGGACACTGGAAGCGGCACCACCTGCCTAGATCTTGTGCTGCCAATAACCACAGGCTCCACACAGCTGGCCCGTGCCACTGCCATGTCTCCTGGAAGGTCCCCCTCATGAAGGCCTGTCCTAACCACCCAGATCACAGGAACAGCCATTCCCACCCCAGGGTCTTTCTCCCCTTTTTTGCTCACAGTGCATGGCACTCTCCATCCTCAATAAATGTGTAGTTTTATCATCCTCCACTCAGAGGCCAAGCACACAAAGCTCTCCTGTCCCCTGCCTGTGCGCATGGCTCTGGCCCTGGTGCTGTGCTCTGCATGCAGCAGTGCTCACAGATCTGTAGTCTGCTGACTGCCACCTGTACCTGAGGCCAGGACCCGGCCGTTCTGCTTCATCACTGCTCCCAGCACCTGGCACACTGCAGGGCTGCCTACGTGTTGTATTAATAACTAAGGATAATGAACAGTGAAAAGTACGTAAGCCTGAAATCTTTTCTAGGACATTGGTTTCTCACCTGTAATTGCTGCTGTAAGTGAGTGATTTCAGCAATTCGTAACTCTCTAGATTTGTTTGTACTCTCAATTTCTTGCCTTTGCGTGGCCAATCGACAGCTGATATCTTGCAGTTTCCCTTCTAGTTGATGCTTCTTGTCATTCTTGAACAAATGAAAGATAACAGAATTTACTGCCATTTTTAGTGATTGTGATATAAACATATCCAAAAGTTAAGAAACTTTACTCACTAGAGCTTCTAACTCAAATTCTAGAGTCTTTTTCTTTGCTTTCAAGACAACTATGTCCTCTTGTTCTTTGTTTCTCTGATTCAGAAGTTCTTGCCTTCGATTCCGTTCCCATTCAAGTTGTCGTTGCCTTTCAAGTTCTCGTTTTGCAGCCTGTGACATTTACAAAAGGCAGCTTATTAGTTTATCAATTCTTACTATACAATATCTTTTAACAAAAGTATCTCCCATCAAGTCTTTCCTTTTAAGGATGAGATGTTAGACAATACAAGAAATAACATGTAACAATAAAAGTTAACAGTGTTCCTTCTATGGGAGAGAGACAATATTTAGAGCTATTATTTTATATAAATGAGAACTGGAGGTTCCGGGAGAACATAGCGGACAGATAACAGCTACTACGGAGGCTCTCTGAAAGGCTCGGCTCAGAAGTCAGGAGGCGCGGAGTAAGGAGACATAAGCCGGTGGAGATATGCTCTGCTGACTCAGGAACAAACTGGGCTGAGAGAAACCAACTTGGAATGCAGTCCTGGTGCTAAAACAGGAACAGAAAAGCCTCAGTGAGGAGGCTGGAGCTGCGCCATTGGAAGCCGCGATTTGGGTTTCCCCCCGCACGGCGACTGCCTCTACATCGGCTCGGCAAGGAGAGAGACGCGCGGAAGCTCTGATAACAGTAATCTGCGAATGGAGTTGAAAACAGGACGGGCAGGGAGGCGTGCACTGACTTGTGGTGAGGTGAGTGAGAGAAACTGACACTCTACCACAGTTTGACTCCAGCGAAGGACATTCAGGGACTAGGACAGACTTGCAGAAGCAGGGCGCAGTGGCGACTTCAGCCACAAATGCCCCTCTCAGGTGGGATTGGTGAGAAGTGCCTAGCCTACGTGACGCTCTGGCGGACGCAGTAGGCTAGCCCAACCCAGATCTCAGAGCCTGACGGTGGCCTTGAGGGGCGGCCCCGCGTAGGCTGCCTGGTCTGGAACTTCCTGGTGCTCTGCGGTGGGCGGGAACACCTAACCGGCGCAATTCAATCAGACTGTGGCTGACAGGGAAGGAAGCTGGGCCTCCTATATATGCTTGCATATATAAGGAACAAGGAATATGGGGAGAGGCAGCAACAAGAAAGGCTCCTCGGCCCCCAATCCTGAGAAACAGGTAATAGCGGACACTGCACCAACAGACATAAAGCGCCATATAGAGAGCCTCATAGATCAGTTCAGGAATGAAGTTATCAATGACCTTAAGCTAGAAGTATGCAGAATAGTTAGAGAAATGCTAAGCACCACCCAAGAAAAAACAGATGGTGGAATGGAAGAACAGAAAAAGAGGGGAGAATTGTTTGATGGAGAAAACAGAGAAAGCATAGAATACGTGAAGCAGGTTCAAAGGGACTACCAAGAAACTAAGAAGTCTATCGAAAACTGGCATAACAGCTTGAAAGAAACTAAGGACAGACTATGTGAACTGGAGGGCAGATTTGTAATATGGGAGCATGAAATGAAAAACTTCTTAAAAATAACAAAGAAACAAACAGCAATAATACAAAGACAAGAAGATGATATGAGGATCCATAACTTAAGGATTAAGAACATAAAAGAAGAAGTAGGGACACAAACAAATGAACTACAAAAGCTACTCACAGAAATAATCCAGGAGAATTTTCCTAATTTAGCAAAAGGTAAAGATACTCAGATGTATGAGGCATACAGGACCCCACTACCTACAACCCAAACAGAGCAACACCCAGGCATATAGTAATAAAAATTCCAGAAATTCAATACAAGAACAGAATATTAAAAGCTGTCAGAGATAAGAAACAGAGCACTTACAAGGGAACACCCATCAGAATTACAGCAGATTTCTCTGCACAAACCATCAAATCATGAAGAGCGTGGGGGGAAATAATTCAAACTTTGAAAGATAATAATCTCCAGCCAAGATTGAGATATCCTGCACAACTGTTCCTGGAAATTGATGGAAAAACAAGGTGCTTCCAGGATAAAGAGGAACTAGGGGAATTTGCAACCACCAATTCTACTCTACAGAGAATACTGCAGGATATTCTAAAAAAAGAAAAATACAAAGAATCCAGAAATAGTGGCGGGGAGGCCACAACGAATGGAGCAGAGAACAAAATGAAGAAGACAAACTGACAGCTACTGACAGAAAAAGAGCTCAACAGAAATGAGGCAGAGAAGATTGGATGATAGGAACAGCTATTTTGGAGAAAATGACATCTTAATAGGTAATACTGATTTAGTATCATCTTGTTTTGAAGTCTCATCAAGCTTTTGTTCTTCTGTCTCCAATGGTCTAAATAGGTTGTATCTTATTGGATTTTATTATGTACGATAGTATAAGCAAAAACCTTTTAAAGACAAGGAGATTATACAGAAACCATTGTTCATTTGCTGTCAGTCGATTCTAAATACTCTGTAATGCTGTCATTCTCTTAGATAGTTTTACATTGTTTTGATATATTTAATGCTACAGTATACGAAGTTGTACTCAAGGATTTCAAGGAAAGAGACAATATGGTAACTACTTTTATGTCAGGATTATCTGGTGGTGAAACACTATTCTGCTTAAATGGTTATGTTTTGATCTGCGCTGTTTTGCTATTTTGCCCTCTTTTATCTCAATCGCCACTCCATTATTTACTTTTTTATTTCTATCCTTTTAACTAAGGAAAAAATAAATAAAAATATCAGGATATATTATAGTAACCCACTTTGACTTTCCATTATCTCGATTTAAAGCCCTGTATTACTCTCACCATCTTGTTTTTGACTGATGTTCCCCTATTCTGTTTTGCTGGATAGTATCATGTTCGAAAGTTTAGGCAACAGCTGTGAAGATAATGAGATTTATTATGATGCCCATTCTCGTTGACTTCTATCTATTTTTGAAGACCTACAATGTCTCCAATGTTTTGGTTTTGTCGGTTTTGTTCTTTACTGTTTTGTTCAACTTTATTATAACTAATGATATAGGCAATTCTATTAGAGATAGCGGGAGACATTATGGTAACCATTGTTGATCACCTTGTATTATGTTTTTACATCATCTATTATGTCCACCCTTTTGATTTGACCGACTCTGTTCTGTTATGTCACATTTGGTTTTAATCTCTTCCAAAAAAGTAATAAGAACCATGGGAGCAATGAAACCCAAAATGTGTAATAGTCATTGTACAAAAGAGAGGAAAAGAAAGTGCTCTAAACTATATAACTGCATGTATATTTAAGTGTATAAGATAGAAAACGGTATCACTGAGTTTTATTGGATCATTGAACAGAACTGTTTGCAGTCTCACTGTTGGAATGTCCACTTTGCAAGCTTTAATTTTGTGACTTGAACAATTATTTCTAAGATGACAATATGTAATCCATTAACTAGTGATTTCCTACTGTTTATTCTTTTTTTGTGTAAATTTGTATAACTTGTACCCTTTCTCTGCTTTTTTTTCTCCTTAAATAAAATTAAAAAATAAATAAATGAGAACTGACAGTTTCATTTCACACAGGAATTTCTTTCTTCAAGCCTTCAAGAATGCAGACATGCAAAATAAAATAAAATCGCCCAGAACAAAATAAGAAAAACCTTGGTTTTTTCCATCTAGAGAAATTATTATATACAGGGTAAATATCCCATACACAGAATGCCTGGGACCAGAAGTGTTACAAATCACAGCTCTCCAGAAACCCATATAAATAAAGTGCAAGATAAAGACACACAGTAAGAAAAAAGAGAAAATAGTTATTGTAACCCAACATATACCTAAAAGTGTACCTTGATTTGGTGTAACTGTCTTACATGTTTTTTGGACTGTTAGTCTGGCTGTTAAATTTTGTTTATGATAATAAACTTGATAAAGACTTACAGAACATGCACTGGGGATTTAGCTCAGTGGCATAAGCGCCTGCCTTGCAAGCAGGCAGTCATAAGTTCCATCCCCAGTACCGATACAAAGGAAAAAGACAAAACAAACAAACAAATAGACTTACAGAACAAATGAATGAACCTCAAGCTTAAAAAAAAAAAAAAAAGATAGGGGTGGAGGGGAAGGGGAATTATGAAGCATTATATACATGTACCAATTTCCCTCCATGAATACAATCATTATACACTAATAAAGCCCACAGACTTTACTGGTTGAGAATTCCTAAGCTGTGAACCTAAACTTGTTTTTTATTTTTTGGAGACAGTCTTACTATTCATCCTAGGCTGGTCGAAAACTTGCTGCAATCTTCCTGCCTCAGTCTGCTGAGTTGGGATTACAGGTGTGTGGCTTTATGTCCAATAGCAAATCTGCTCTTCCTGAGTGGAGTTTCAGATTTGGAACATTTTGCATTTTCAGACTAGGAGTATCTGCCTCTATCTCACATTTTACAAGTCTGTGATTCCCACCCTCCTAGTCACCGATTTCCTTTTTACCATCAGCTATAATTCCTTCAGAAATGCCAGCTCTCCTCCACATTAAGTCTGATGACTGCTGGGAAGAACACGCGTCACAGTGCCCAGCACTGGCACATGTGACTGCCTCTTAGTAGGTTCCCAGCTATGCTGCAGAGAACTGGAGGCCAACGAGGGCAACAGTCAGGGATGCCTGAGACCTAGTGATGGTGAACAGCTACTAAATTATTTTGAACAAATAGAATGCCACTTTTTTTTTTTTTTAACACTTAAGACAGGAAGGAGGTGTTACAACACTGGGTTGGCTATTAAAATCTTGGTGGGGTTAGTTTCTTGGTTGCTAATGCACAGCTTAGCATGCAGGGGCCTGGGTTCAAATTCTAGTCTCAAGTAAACAAATATAAAATCTTGTTAGTTGCTGCATGTGTCTGCTTGACCAAAAGGCTGTTTGTGGCTCCATGTTTCCAGAAATGAAGCAAAAGCACTGTTATTTTTTCTAACAGAGAGAGATTTCCCACCTTTATATTTCATTCAACTAGAGAATCCTAGTACTGCTTCTGAAGCAATACACTGAAACTGGAAAGACAAGAAAGGGGTCTGGCTTGGCCCCTACCCAGCTCTGACATTAAATTTATGAAGCCATCACAGAACATAATGAAGATTCTCCAGATACACTCTAGGCACATTAAAGAAAACAGCTGAGGACAATGCAACTGGTGGAGTACCATCACAGTATGGGCTTTAAAAGATCATATCCCAGCTTCTCCAGCATATGAACATTTATACTTTTACACAGGTTCATAAGTACAGAGATAATAATCTGGAAAGACACCTAGCCAGTCTCAGTGGCTTATAAAAAGACTATCATTAAAACCTGGCACAAAAATGTTCATAATAGCATTATTTATAATAGCAAAAAAAACAGAAACAACCCAGTGTCTATCAACTTATGAATGGATAGATGCAATGCTGTATAACCATATAATGGAATATTACACAGCCAAAATGAATAAAGTACCAATTCATACTACAAAGTGGATGAACCTTGAAACGCCATGCTAGGTGGAAGCCAGACCCAAAAGGTCAATATTATGATTCCATTTATAAGAAATTCCCAGAATTGGCAAATCTACACAGCTAATAAAGTAAACTAAGTGTGTCCAGGGGCTGGAAGAAGAAAATGAGGAATAATTGGTAAGCAGGAAGGTGGTGTCTCTTTTGGGGTGTTGAAAATATTCTGGAATGGTCAGTGGTGAACCTCTGACTATAGCAAACTCCTAAACTATAAAAATGAAAAGAACAACAATCAGGACTGTTCCGTATCAACAGATGGCCTGCGTAAGTCTGAGACAGAGACCTTACACACTAACTGCGAGCCGCTGCTCAGCCCTCACCTCCCGCCTCTCGATCTCTTTCCTCCTCTCTTCCTCTCTCTGCCGCTCCAGCTCGCGCTGCTTCTCCAGCTGCTTCTCCAACTCCAGCTGCCGCTTGCGCTCCTGCTCCTGGCGCTCCCGCTCCTTCCGTTCCTGCTCTGCCCGCTCCAGCTGAGCCAGGCGCTCTTGCTCTTTGCGTTGCTGCTCCAAGAGCGCTTGTCTCCGCTTCTCCAGCTCCAGATTGCCGCGTTCGAAATTCTCCCGCTTCTTGTCTTCAAACGTCACTTTAAAACAAGGAACATACCAACTGGGGAAAACCATGATTTCCAGCACTGCCTTTCAAAGGAAAAACTCGCTGGCATATTTGAAATGTACGATATGAACTCAAACCCAGAGCCACCTAGGTTTCCCTTGTTACTAAGCACACAAACGCACCCCTCCCCTTCCTACTGTGTCCACACCAAGCGCTGCTTCTAAGGCATCATTCCTGAACTGCTCTGTATCATCACCTGACCCTGTCCCTCTCCCTACCCTTTGCCTTCGTCTCCATGCGTTGCTTCACAACTGAGTGCCACCTCCTGAGAACATGCGACACTGTCCTCTCCCCCGAGCACGGACCTGTGCTGATGTGGCCTCTATTCCCCTGAGACTTCTCCTGGAGGCAGAGGTAGGTGAGCACACCTACTCCCTACTGACCAACAAGCTGGGCCCGAATCATTTCAAAGATCACAGGAAACACTTTAATCCATCATTTGGATTTTTTTATGACACTCCGATTATAAACCTCAGTTTTCACACTTTTCCTCTCATCCTTACTAAGCTTCCGTCTATATCCATCTTAATTTATATGTATATCTAAACATCCCATCTTCCACACCCCTTAATTTTCCAGAGCGTGTGTCCCACTCAGCCTCTGCCTCAGTGAGTTCCCTCAGCACCAGCCCAGGTCCACGGGCATGATCATGGCCAGCCCTTGTTCACACCAACCCACTGTGTCAACTCTACTTCCACAACTGGCACCTCTCTCTTTGCCTTCAGATCTGCAGCTGTGAGTTCCCTTCCATGGCTCCCCCACACTGAAGTCAGGACTTCACTATCTCAGAAGGTGCCCCTCACATACTGCAGTCAGAGACTTGTGGTCAAAATGGCAAGTATATACTGGTTTTCTTGCTCCTTTTCTTGCACTTGGTGACATTAGAGGAGGCAGCATCCTCTTCACCCTGCCACCTTTAAACTCAAAAGTCCCTCTACCAAAAAGGAAAGAAATAATGACCAATGTTAAAATGCAAAGGAATCTCAAAAATAGTGTACCATGTGGAAGGAGATGGACACAAAAGGTCACATATTATGATTGCATTTATGTTAGATACCCCCAACAAGAAATCCAAAGAAACAGAAAATACTGGTGGTTACAGAGAATAGAAAACAGGGAAGGTCCAGAGGTGGAGTTTCTTCAGAAATAAGACAGAGGTGTCAGCGTACTAAATGTCAGCAATGAGCTGAGTTCTGTGTTCCTTCCCAACCAGGTTCGTGTGTTTAAATGTGAACTGCCCCAGTGTGATGTTAAGAGACAGGTGTTTTTAGGAGGTAATCAGTTTCAGATTAGAGCATGAGGATGGGGCCATTATGATGAGATTAGTGGCCTTTAAAAAAGAAGAGACAGAAATCATTTCTCTATATGAAAGCACCAAGGAAAAGCCTCTTGAGGTCACAGGGAACAAACTGCTATCTGCAAGCCAAGAGGGCCCTCTCTGAGATGTGAACTGCCGGCACTTTGATCTGAGATTTGAAGTCTCCAGCACTATGAGAAATAAATTTCCACTGTTCAAACCACACAATGTATTCTATTTTATTATGGCAGACCAAGCTGACTAAAAACTACTAAACTGTACTCTTTTTTTCTTTTTTCTTTTTTTTTGGCACCGGAGATTGAACTCACGACCTCACATTGCCAGGCAGGTAAATTGTCTATTTTTAAATGCTCACTTTTTTATTATGAAAATTTCACTTCAATTTTAGAAACCCTGAAAATCTCTATAAATCTAACTCATTAATAGCAAGCACACATTGTGAATGCACAAGACTCTGATAACATCATTTCCTATTCAAAATCTTAAATAGCTGTCCACTAACATCAGAAAAAGATAACTCCAAATTCTAAAATTCCTGTCTTTATATGCACTGAGACTTCCTCTCCATTGTTATCAAAACTTGAAATGATCTCCACTTCTACTTGTAACGATGCCATTCACCGTCAAGTCCCCACTCCATTCTGGTCTGTTCCACAGAGATCTAATTTCTCTGGTCTCTGCCATCTATACCTACGAAAGTGTCAGTAAGCTCTGTTATGCATCTGTAAAGCACTCCAGGAGCTTGGCGTTCAGGCACTGTTTTACTGAGTGTGTACTGCACACGGCTGCCTTAAATCTAACACAATATAGTTGCTGGAGCACAAAAACTATGTATTGTTAACAGATTCTTCACTATACTCAACACACAGCCTTGCACAAGGAACATTTATGGTAAGCATTTCACTGCTGAACGTAATGGAAAAGAAATTTAGTTTAGAGAATTAACTGGGAAAGCTGGGTCCTGAGCATACCAATTAACCACGGAGCATTTAAATCACAGCAAGATGACACCGATAAAGCATTTAACACAAAGAGACTTCAGAATACATCGCAACTGCTTCTCAGTACCATCATTACTAATTCATAGCCACCTTAGAATAACGTAATAGTATAATGGATTTACCACTGTAAGTGAGAGTCTCTTAAGATAGGTTTGCGTTCAATTTAAAATAGGTTAATACTGTTAAGGAGTTTCCAATTGTCTTATAGTAATATGAGAAAATAAAAGTAGAGGATTTTATGTTCTATTATAAGAAACTACCTCAGCAATTACCAATTTTTTAGTGTTCTATATTCCATAGATAATATTTATGATTTGGTTTAGTCAAGCTGAATGTTAGAAGAAGGTACATCAGCAGAGGACACAATGTTCTTATTTCTCTGCACACACCAAAACCAAAAACACGTGTCTCCCGAATGTCTTTTTGACTATGGTTACGCTGTTAAAGAAACAACAAACACATCAGCCACTAAATTAGTTTTCACTTACATTTCTGCCATACTTTTTACGCCTAATTTGACACAGGAGTCCAACATGAGGGCTGCCTTACCAGGTAATTTCTTTTCTACTTGCTGCTGTTCATCCTCTAAAGCTGGTTCCTCTGGTAACCTCTGATCTACAGATGCTGAGCTTATAACAGATATCCCACTGCCAGATCGGACTCTTCTGTGGTTGTAGAAAAAAGAAACAGATCTACGTAAAGCTGTACATACAGAACTGGACATCCTATGAAAATAATATTTACACTGCACTGCATCATGGAGGAAATTTTGCTTACAGCAAGGAAAAAGGCAAAGATTTGGTCGTTTCTACATGGAAAAGCTTTTTTATATGGATATTTGAATGTCACCAGCTTCTGAGAACCAACCTTGTTCAAACTGTTGGGGTGTAACTCAGTAATCTGGGGCTGATGCCCAGAGCCCACCATGAAAAAAAACCCACAAAACCAAAAAGGTGCTTCAAAAGAGAACTGTCATCCACATTAGCATAATCCCAAAGGGCAGAATGCCAACTAATCATAAAGTGGTAAGGAATGCTACTGTCATCACCTGTCCCTTGGAAGGTCAGCAGTTGTATAAATGAGAACAGATCTTTCCCTAGACTCTGCAGTTCTAGAACAATTCACTTAGTTTACTGATCACTATCACATTTCTTTTTTTTTTTTTTTTTTTTTTTGTCTTTTGTCTTTTTGACACAGGATCTCGCTATGCAGTTCAGGCTGGCCTTGGGTTCACTTTGTAGTCCAGGCTGGATTTGTACTCGCAGTGATCCTCCTGCCTCAGCCTTCTGGGTGCTGGGATTACAGGCGTGTGCCGCCATGCCTGGCTACTATCACTTTTAAATAATTAAGTTTGCTGTTTTAATTTTTTTTTTCTTTTTTTTCCTGAACAGAGTCTAGCTAAGTTATCTAGGCTGGCTTCACAGTTGTGATCCCCTCCTGACTCAGTCTCCCTACTGCTGGGATTACAGATGTGTGCCACTATACCCAGCAACACTGCTCTTTTAACAATCTCCCTACCCTCCTTCTTATGCTTTTTTAAAAACCAATTTCCAATGGCAAATCTCTCTCATACTGAGTTTTGGAGTTGTGGGTTTGCATAGGTAGACTGCTTCAAGTACTTGTTACTTCTTTGGTAGTCTTCCCCATCTTGCTTCTCTGTTAGCTACATATCACATACTAATACCGATGGGTTTTTTTTCTCTTCAGGTTAGAGGGATTTTGCTCCAGTCTTTCATGAAGTTTGAGGACTTGGAACAGAAGGTTTATCTATATTTCTTTTTTCTCTGTGCCAGTATGACCTCATATTCATCTTTTACAATGAAAGCAAGAAAAGGAGCTGTGCTGGACTGCGTGTGCATGCATATATATGACAGTGAGGGGACAATCACGGCCAACTTCTCCTTGCTAGATTCCAGGGGCTCTCTTGACATCTCTACTGAGCCTGACTTTCAGACTGGAATAATTTTATTTAATCCCCTTCCTGATTTATCATTTCTATACCTTAGCATTTTTGTTGCTTCTTAAATATGCATAATTCACAGGTGTGATCTCCTTGTGTTACTTTCTATGGACAGGCTCATTCAGTTTTTCCTTCATTCAAACCATCTGTTCTAAAATTTTTAATGAGCTTTAATTACATAGATTAGTACAAAAATTAGCACTCTTTTGGTATCTTACTTGATAGCCTTGATTATATGGAATATATAAGTATAAAATGGGTCCACGTATCACATAGAACTTAGGAAAGAAGATATTCTTGAATTCATGGATATTTCATGTACATCCAAGAACAGAAATCACCATAAGATAGTCAATATAGTCATTTGGGATTCACATACCCAACACACAGTTTCTCACAAGAGCCAAACACTCCTTACCTAAAGGAAGGTGGGATGTATTCTGGAGGCAAGACAGGCGGCAGTGGCTGGCCAGACATAGCAACATCGATTAGGTGCATAGCCAGGATAAATTCTTCTGCTGTGAGTTTTCCATCTTGATCAATGTCAGAAAGATTCCTGATTCAACAAAAAGTTCATTGGAACCCAACTTCATGAACATAAATGCTTCTGATTATTCATCAGTGATTTAAAAGTTCTGTTTTCTTATTCTAGTCCTAGGCCAATTGAACCTCAGAGTATAAAAACAGTACTATTTCATACTGCTGCAGGGATAAAATGAGATTCTCTAGAGTTGGGATGGTGCTCAGCAGTCAACAAATGCTAAGTGTGGCTGTAATGATATGCTTCTCAATCCTCACAAACAGGTTTAAAATACATCACACCCACATTCTATGTATCTCTAACTGCTATGTTTTAGAACAGAGATCCACAAAGTACAAAAAAACAACTAAGAAACTACAATCTCGGTCACATTGATTCTGCCTTTGTAGCAGGAATGTGGCCACTGACAACACTCAAACAAATGGATGTGGCTGGTTTTATAATAAAACCCCACTGATAAAAATATGTGCCAGCCAGATTAAGCCGACTGGATGGCTAGCCACCCCTAATATAGGCAAGCCAGGGTAGATCTTTATGGCCTCTTCACTCTAGGGACTCAGTCTCCGTCATTCTTAACAATAAGCTTGTCCAAGGACCTAATACAGTAAATACATTTTTCCCAGCAAGGCCAAGAATGTGACTTCATTTAGCAAATTCTGGACAGCAAAAGAAGATGTAAAACAACACATCTGTTCACTAGAATGCCAACAGAACAAATTCCACATTAGAAAAACAGCTTTCCCAATGAGCAAAACTGAGAAAATTTGCTTCCTAGTTCTGAAATTTCTTCAGATGTTTTGTTTTGTTCTCCTTTAAGACAAGATCTTCCTATCTAGTCCATTTTGGCTCTGAACCTACTATATTCAGCCAAGCTAGATCCTAAACTTGTGAATCCTCTTGCCGCAATACAATCCCAACACTCAGGAGGCTGAGGCAGAAGGAAGGATCACTGCAAGTCTAAGGTCAGCCTAGACAACATATCAAGACCATGTTTCGAAAGGAAAAAAAGTATAACTTCCACACAGTAACACTCACATTTTTTAGAGTATAATTCTTGAGTTCTGATAGTTGGGGAACTATGACTACACACCACAGAGCCAGTGCTACCCCTATGCCCACATCTCCTTACAATCAACCCCATCTTCCCTGCTGCTAGGCCCTGGCTTCCCTGGTGTCTTTGACTCTAGTCCTGCCTTTCCCACCACAACTCCTTCTAAAACAGCACAGAGCCACAAGTGGGAAACTGTGCAAGCTCATTCTCATTCTCCTCTTTTCTGTACCTCACCACTGGCCACACTCCTAGGTATTAGATTAGGAGATAGCTGAAATTCTTGATGTTCCCCCATGGCTGACTACATTATGACTATAAGCATTTAATTAAAATATACTTTGTGTGTAAAGGGAGAAAATAATGTTCTAGAAGACACCTTAAGAGTCTTTTTCAGGAGACAAGTTATAAATGAGAAAATTAAAATAAGCATTTCAGTGTATTCAGGTATCATGGGAACAACCCAATAAACTATCAATCCATCTCCATATATGCCATATCTTGTTTACATTTTAGAGGCACCTAAAATACTGGAGTGAATACAGACTGCAAGAGGCTTGGGTGATCACAGACAGAAGATGTATATTAGCTGGTGTATTCTTCTACATAAAGAAAGGGCAGAGGACCGGCAAGAGGAGCAGCCTGTGCTCTGCCCTATGTGGGTCCTGGGTGAAAGTCATGAATCTAGCACGTGAGCAATAGAGACTGGATCCACTGAGCAGGCAGACTGTTTGACATATATAAGAGATGCGCACTTAAGGAAGCATTTTGGTTAACATCTGAATTGTAAGAAAACTCACAGAATTTCTGCAATGCTCATCAATAACTATTAAGAATCATTAAAAAAACAGAGGTCTCAAGAGGCATTATGGTAACCATTGTTGATAACCTTGTATTCTGTTTTTATATCATGTGCTATATCTATCCTTTGTTTTGACTGACTGCTTTGTTTTGTCATACTTGGTTTTATTCTCTTCCAAAAAAAAAGTAATAAGAACTACGGGAATAATAAAACCCAAAGTGTGTAAATTTTTTTGTAAAAAAGAGAGGAAAAAAAAAGTGCCCTAAAAGATACAACTGCAAGTGTGTTTAGGTGTGTTAAGATAGATGACCATATTACTAAGTTTTTGTTGGATCATTGAACACAACTGATTGCAGTCTGTTTAAATGTCCACTTTGTATGCTTTAATCCTGTAACTTGAACAACTATTTCTAAGATGACAATATGTAATCTACTAACTAGTGAATTCTTAAAGGTGTTTTTGAAATTCTGTATTACTTGTACCCTTATACTGTTTTGGTTTGGTTTTTTACTTTTAAAAAAAAAAAAAAAAAAACAGAGGCCAGTGCGCCCTTTCCATGAGCCAGTGGCAGCCACGCAGGGCACCAGAGAATAAAAAAGCCAATCTGCCCTTCCCGTAAACCAGCCAGAGTGCAGCCTAGGAGACAAACAACCCCAGCCTACCAAGTAACTGGCTGATTCGGAGGAACACAGGCTGAGCTGATAGCAACTGAGGTAAAAGAATAATTTAATGCTTGTATTGTTTGATTGACTTTGCAGGCCTAAATCTAGTAGTCTGAATATCTATTTAGAGAATAACAATATGCAATATAGCAACTATGGGGGATTTCCTTCTGTCTTGTTTTATCTCACTGTTTTGTTCCATTCGTTGTTTTGTTTTATTCAATGTTCTGCTTTGATTGGTTTTATTCTGTTCTGTTTTGTTTATTTTGTTTGATGGTATGGGCAGCAATTCTGAAGATAACAAGAGGCATAATTATAGTAGCCATTGTTGATTTCCTATTTTCCTGTTTTAGGGTCCTGTATCACTTTCACTGTTTAGTTTCCATTGGTTTTATTTTATTCAGTTTTATTCTTTATAAAATAAAATTTTTTTAAAAAAAGAAATATTGCAAAATAGAGGCAGTATGTGCCTTCTGATGAAACCACACAGTAACATCTTCAATGGTACAGTCTTACTGAAACACACAGAACAATTCAAACTTCTATCAGTGGTCCTCAACCAGCAATGATGTGATACCCTAAGGGGCATCTGTCAGAGCAAGAAGGTATTTTAGTTGTCATAGATGGGACATGAATGGGGTCTTGTTCCTGGCCTATGTTACCTGGTAAGTATGGACCAGACATGTTACTAAATATCCAACAATGAACCATACAGCCTCCATAATGAAAAACTACAGAAAATGTCAACAGTGCTGAAGTTGAGGCATTTTATTCTAGATCTAATTACCAATTCTCAGAAAATATAGGAATAAGTTGAACTTCAACTCAGGGATACAACCATGAAATTTAAGCTACTAAGAAACTGCAGAATAAACAATCTTGGGTTTTTTCATGGCAGGGGGAGATGCCATAGGATAAACAGAGAACAAAAAATGAGAATTATAAACAATTAAAAGATATATTAATCAAATATTGCAAAGCACAGGTTTATTTCAGCCCTGCTTTGAGCAAATTAAGTATAAAAAATTTTAGGTCAATCTAATGAATTTAAAAACTATTAATTTGTAAGAATGACTTAAAAATTTCAAATGGACTAGTGATACTACAGTTATGGTACTAAAAATTCCAATCTCCTTTAAAAATAGAAGGTGCAATATATACAGATGAAATGATATAACTAAGAGTTGGGTTAAAATAATCAGAAAGGAGGAGAGGAGAAGCAAGACCAGCCTGGGTTCAAAACTATTATGCTATGTTATAAGCTCATAAGAAATCATTTTATTGACTTCCGGGAGAACATGGCAGACAGATAGCAGCAGCTTCGGAGGCTTTCTGAGAAACCGCACTTAAAATCCAGGAATGGTGCCAGGCGAGAAATCCTAAGCAAGGGGAGATATACTTTGCCGACCCAGGAACGAACTAAACTAAGAGAAACCAACTGGAAACACAATCCCGGTGATATAACAGGAACAGATAAGGTCTCAGCGCGGAAGCTGGACCCCATGCCACTGGAAGCTGCAATTTGAATTTCTTGCAGCTGCTGCTGTATCCCAATCAGCGCGGCAAGGAGAGAGATGGGAAAGCTTGGAGAGTGGGAAGCAGTGAATGGAGTTAAGAGTGGGACTGGCTGGGAGCCCTGCATCGACCTGCAGTGAGTGAGCAGCTCGGGAACCCTTCCTTTACAGTAGGAGGCTTCAGCAAAGGACATATTGGGACTGGGCAGACTAGACGGAACAGGTTATTGCAGTGACTTCAGTCACATATTTCCCTCTCAAGTGGGATTGGTGGGTAGTGCCTGGCCTGTGTGACGCCACTGACTAGGATAGCCCAAACCAGGTCCCAGCACCTGGAGGTGCACCCTAGCAGTGAAGCCTTCAGTAGGTTGACCTGGAGGGGCAGGCCCAGCATAGGCTGCCCAGGTCTCTGTCTCCCTAGTACACTGCAGTGGGCAGGAACACCTAGCTGGCGCAATTCAAACAAACTGTAACCAACAAAGAAAGAAACTGGGCCTCCTATATACGCTTGTATAAAAGGAATAAAAAACATGGGAAGAGGGAGCAACAAGAAAGGGTCCTCGGCCCCCAATCCTGAGAAACATGCATATCAGACACGGCACCAATAGACATAAATCACTATCTCCAGACCCTCATAGATGAGTTCAGGAATGAAGTTATTAATGACCTGAAGCAAGATATAAGCAGAATAGTCAGAGAAATGCTAAGCACCGCCCAAGAAAAAACAGATGGTAGAATGGAAGAACGGAAAAAAAGGGGAGAATTGTTTGATGGAGAAAATAGAGAAAACAGAATATGTGAAGCAGGTTCAAAGAGATTACCAGGAAACTAAAAACTCTATCAAAAACTGGCATAACAGCTTGAAAGAAACTAAGGATAGATTATCTGAACTGGAGGGCAGATTTGTAATATGGGAGCATGAACTGAAAAACTTCTTAAAAATAACAAAGAAACAAACAGCAACAATACAAAGGCTAGAAGATGATAAGAGGATTTATAACTTAAGAATTAAGAACATAAAAGAAGAGGTAGGGACACAAACAAATGGACTACAAAAGCTATTCACAGAAAGAATCCAAGAGAATTTCCCTAATTTAGCAAATGGTAAAGATACTCAGATGTACGAGGCATACAGGACCCCACTACCTACAACCCAAATAGAGCTACACCCAGGCATATAATAATAAAAATTCCAGAAATCCAATATAAGAACAGAATATTAAAAGCTGTCAGAGACAAGAAACAGATCACTTACAAGGGAACACCCATCAGAATTACAGCAGACTTCTCGTAACAAACCATCAAATCACGAAGAGCGTGGTGGGAAATAATTCTAGCTGTGAAAGATAATAACCTCCAGCCAAGACTGATATATCCTGCACAACTGTCCCTAGAAATTGATGGAAAAACAAGGTGCTTCCAGGATAAAGAGGAACTAGGGGAATTTGCAACCACCAATTCAACTCTACAGAGAATACTGCAGGATATTCTAAAAAAGGAAAATACCAAGATTCCAGAAACAGTGGCAGAGAGGCCACAATGAATGGAGCAGAAAGCGAAATGAAGAAGACAAACTGACAACTAATGACAGAAAAAGAGCTCAACAAATGAGGCAGAGAAGATCAGATGGTAGGAACAGCTATTTTGGAGAAAACAAGACATCATAATAGCTAGTGCTGATTTAGTATCATTTTGTTTTGAAGTCCCATCAAACTTGTATTCTTTTGTCTCCATTGGTCTTACTGGATTTTATTATATATGATAATATAAGTAAAAACTTTTATAGACGAGGAGATTATACAGAAACTATTGCTCATTTTCTGTTAATTGGATCTAAATACCCTGTAATAATGTCATTCTCTTGAATGGTTTCATAGAGTCTTGATATGTTTGGTGCTACAGTATACAAAGTTATACTCAAAGATTTCAAGGAAAGAGACACTATGGTAACTATTTTTATGTCAGGATATCTTGTGGTGAAACACTATTTTGCTTAAATGGTTATGTTTTGACCTGCGCTGTTCTGTTGTTATGCCCTCTTTTATCTCAATCCCCCCCCCTTAAAATTATTTACTTTTTTCTTTTTATCTTTTTAATTAAGGTTAAAATAAATAAAAAATAGCAGGATACATTATAGTAACCTACTTTGCTTTCCTATTAACTTGATTTGAGATCCTGTATTGCCCTTACCATCTTGTTTTGACTGATTTTCCCCTATTCTGCTTTGCTTGATAGTACCAAGTTCAAAAGTATAGGCAAAACTGTGAAGACAATAAGGTTCAGTATGACGCCCATTACGGTTGACTATTATCTTCTTTTAAAGTCCTGTAATATCGCCAATGGTTTGGTTTTATTCTTTACTGTTTTGTTCAATTTTATTAAAACTGGCAATTCTTCTTAAAATAGCAAGAGGCAGTATGGTAACCATTGTTGATCACCTTGTATTTTGTTTTCACATTATCTATTATGTCCATCCTTTTGATTTGACTGACTCTGTTCTGATATGTCACATTTGGTTTTACTCTCTTCAAAAAAAGTAGTAAGAACTGTGGGAGTAATAAAACCCAAAATGTGTAATTGTCATTGTACAAAAGAAAAGAAAGTGCTCTAAAGGTTATAAATGCATATATGTTTAAGTGTATAAGATGGATAACTATATTACTGAGTTTTTTTGATCATTGAACAAAATTGTTTGCACTCTCACTGTTTGAAAGTCCACTTTATATATTTCAATTTTGTAACTTTAACAACTATTTCTAAGATGAGAATATGTAATCTATTAACTAGTGATTTCTTATTGTTTATTTTTGAAATTTTGTATTACTTGTATCTTTTTTCTGTTTTTTTCTCCTTAAATAAAAAAATTTTAAAAAAAAGAATTCATTTTATTAACCCTCTGCTTTTGCATTTTTCCTAGTTAATAGGGCAGAAGAGAGTAACAACAGCAATCATCACAATTCAATGAAAAGTAAGCATGATCCAAATATCCCCCGGTAATATTAATCTAAAAATTTACAAGGTCATACCAGTCTAATAAAAATGTTACTTCACATAAACCAAGGAACTTGTCATTTCTTACCATATCGAAGCCAGCTGAGCCTGTGGTAAACTTGATTGCATAAGAATAGTTCTTGCTTGAGGACCTAGAGGGAAATCAGGGAACATACATAAAGATGAGTAAGCAGATACTGCCTGTCCCGGAAGACCAGGCTGCAGCACCCATGAACCTTGCAATCTCATGAAATCGACATGTCTCACACAGCATTTACCATAACCACAAGACCTTTTTAAAAGGGAAATAAAACCCCAACGAAAGTGAAAAAACACAAAGCACAGCTTCTGATACATACTCAGTAATGTGTAACAGATAATGTGAAATAAAAAGACATAAGCTGAATTGTTAAAGCTATTGCACATTTTAAATAGCTAATACCAAAGCCAGAACTAAAACATTTTCCACGAAAGGGAGAAAAACCCCACCAAAACCTGGAATTTCAACTCTTTTAAAATCAGATCTCCTGTCTTAAAATAACTGCAAATAACTACTTCATTTCTAGCTTGAAACTACCTACAGGTATCACACAAAAGCTAGGAAGGCGTTCTGAGTGTTCAGACAAAGAAGTACATCTGTCTCATTTTCAGCACTGCCTCTCAAGGTGATGCACAGGTCAGGGAAAAGGAAGGAGGGTGCAGCAGGGAAGAGAGAAAGTGCCCTTACTTACTTGAATCTGAGCTCTTTTCCTTTTCGAGCTCTTCCCCTGACTAACAAATCTATGATCCACTGTGTAAAGAGCTGTAATACTGAGTTCCACAGTGTTAGCACATGACAAGTGGCAGTTAAAATTTATTACTAGGGTTGAGGATTTAGCTCAGTGGCATAAGTGCCTGCCTGGCACACACAAGGTCATCAATTCAATCCCCAGTACAAAAAACAAAAACAAATTTATTACTAACTTTTAGTTTTACTAATATTTTATATAAAATTTTAATTTTTGTTTTTATATAAAATATTTAAGAAAAACACATACATACATACACTTACATGTGGTATAATCAAAATATATGGTGAACATTGAAGTTTTTAAAAATTTCACTATAGTGGGGTGGGGGGTTTAGCTTAGCAGCATAAGCATTTGCCCTGGCAAGTGTGATGTTTTGAGTTTGATCTCCAGTACAAAAAAAATTCATTATAATGACTGATTTTATTTAAATCTGCTATGATTGATAGTATCAAGTCTGAGAGTATAGGCAATTACTCTGAAGATAATAAAACTCACTAGTGTACCCACTCTGGTTTGACTATTATCTGCTTTTGAAGTCTTATGTCTCCAATGCTTTGTTTTTATTAATATTATTTTATTAATATCACTTTTACATTCTATTTTTAGTCAGTGATTAGTTTCACATTTCAATTATACTATGCCTGATGATATAGACAATTCTATTGAAGATAACAAGAGACATGATAGTAACCATTATTGACCTTGTATTGCGTTTTTATAGACTTTTTTGCTTCATATTTATCTAGGAATTTGTTTTCTTTTGTCTTGCTTTGCTTTGTTTTTCCCTCTTATATAGAATGGATAGATATACATGTAGAGACTCACACATGCGCAGAACTTCTAAACAGTTTATTAGAATTGATTATATAATGCATAACGAAATGAACAACTCCTTTGAAGAAAAAGAGACACTCCAGTACCCAGCGCTGATTCCATAGCATCATGATGTGAAATCCAGCAATACTACTACTCTTTGTTTACAGTGATTTTAGTCCCTTTAGTTTTGTTTAATTTCAACATACGTGAAGGTACAGACAGCTATTTTGAAGAGAAGGACAGACATTATGGCAGCCATTGTTCACTTTTTTATTATCTGGTCTTGAAGAGCTAAAAGCCTTCATCATCTTGTTCAAATCAGTTTTATACTATGCTGTTTTGTGTGAATTCACTGTATGTGAAGATACGGACAGCTATTTGGAAGAAAACGAGACAATATGATAGATAGTGAAGATCTCCAGCTGTCTTGCTTTGAAATCTTTGTCTCTTACATTGCTTTCTTACTTTCTGTTTAATTTTACCCTCTAAAAAATAAAATTTTAAAAAGTTCATTGTAGTAAGACACACTGCCACTGATCCCCTTCAAATGACACTGCTGCTCATTCCCTCTTACTTTGAACACACTTATCCCATCTTTCTTGCCACTTTCTGAAGCAGTTCTGAAGTCCTCTTTGACGAAGTTCTTTATGAGCTATCACCAGAATACGGTGCATGCTGATGCTGAGCACCATCCAGCAGAAAGGCAGGCAGTAAAGGCATCAGGCACATGCCCAGGCACCGCATCCCGCACCATACAATTCTCTGGCTCTTACTTGAAGTCAACATGACCAGGAGAGGTAAACCTTTTGGACCATTTGGGGCAGCAACACAGCCACAGCACTGCAACTACAGACACTCAAGAAAGAGGGCTTTCAGAACTGCTCCAGAAAGTAGCACGAACAGTGCAGCGGGGATAGAAAAAAAGATGTGTTAGTATAGATGGACCAACTCCTCATAATGAATGTAATTGTTATGTACTACAAATGGATACTAACAAAACTAAAAATTAAAAAAGATGGCAAGGGGCTAGGGATTTAGCTCAGAGGATAAGCAACTGCCTTGCAAGCAGGCAGTCGTGAGTTCGATCCCCGGTACCGATAAAAAAGAAAAAAAAAAAAGTGTAAAAAAGATGGCAAGAACAATAAGGCGTGTTAAAGCAAGCAGGAATATTTTGATGGGGATTAACAGCAACGGGTTTTTATGGTAACTACTTTTTTTATCACATCTTGTGTAGATATATGTGCAAATGTATACAGCTTAGAATAATTTTCCAAAGTGAAAATGCTCAAACAGTGCCCAGATCACAGAATACAACAGCACTCAGGAGTCTCTCTTCACCCCCATTCTGAAATTGCCTCCCACCAACTGTAAGCAAACTTCCAACCAGAAAATATGTCTTCTGTGTCCTGGCTCTTTTTTCCTCAAGATACTGCTGTGTGCGGTTGTAGAAGATAAAACTACTGCTACATAGTACACTGCTGTGTGACTGCATCACAATTTATTTTCCATTCTACCTTCACGAGAATTCAGGCAGTTTTTAGTTTTGACGTCCTATGGACAGTGAGCACGCTGCTTGGTGAAAATATGAACAGATTTCTGTTGGTGTGTGTACACTGGGGGCATCTAAAAATAACAGTCAGGCAGGGGATGCTGCTCCGTGGAACAGCACTTGTCTAGTATATGCAAGACCCTAGATTCAATTCCCAGCCCAGCACCAAAACAGAAAAAAATCATTGCTGAATTAATGCAAATATTTTAAGTGTTCTTTGGTATACTGGAATGAAGAAAGCTCACTGGCCACTTTCTTCATTTTACTTAGAATGGGGGTTTGACAAACCATAGCACATGACCTAGACTGGTCAATCACTTGTTTTTCTAGGTAAATTTTTATTGAAACTTTTTAGATTCACTAATTAATTCATGAAAAGTGGCTTTTTTGTACTAAAATGTCAGAGTCAGGCAGTTGTGACACATGGCTTTATACGCGTGAAGCATCTGCTATCTTGCTCTTTTGAAAAGAAATGACTCCAGTGCTGGAAGACAGTAAATCAGTCAGTCAATCTCTGTCTCTGTCTCTGTCTCTTTATGTCTCTCTCTGTCTCAGACAGAGTCCTGCCATGTAGTTGAGGGATCTTCATGCCTGGCCCTCCTGAGTGCTGGGGTTACAGGCATGTGCCACGATGCCCAGCTATGCATCTCTCTTGCAATTCTAAGTACTTGATCCTGTCACCAAACAATGTAGTGAATATTGAAGTATACCAGCAACAAATAAGGTATCTTAGCATAAGGAAACAGCATAAAATTGAAAATCTACGCATTTATCAGTTTTACAGTACTGATTAATGAGGAACCTCATATCAATAAACAGAAATCTCACATTCACAAACTGGACTGCTATGGTTAGGGAAGTAAGTATGAATGGATGAAAAAGATAATTTATCTCAAATAATGAGTAAAAGTTTAGGTTTTCTGATTAATAATGAATAATCAAAATAGCATATCCATAGTTTCAAAATGTAACAAGATTAAAGAAAAACGGCTAAGGTTAATAGGATCAGAATTCTGCAGCATGTAAACAGCCTTAGAGAATCTGGACCCTTTCTACTTTATAATTTTTTAAGCATACAATAACATACACATCAAACTGTGAGGGAGAAAGGAAATGTGTCAAGTGAGGTATATCAGCTTAATCAACCAGATAATACATGAGGTAAATACTACCACTGCTAGATTAGCTTCCTTCCCAAAATGGGCTGGCTGCTATCATAAGACCAGAGGTGTTATGACAAGCAACAGCATTCTTTTCTACTATGTGTTTTTACAGATAACAGAATGTGATGGGATCCAGAAGAACTATGTGCAAATGAAACACAATAGTGATCAGGAATCCTTTTAAGAACTACCGGTATGCCTGGCATGGTGGTTCACGCCTACAGTTCGAACACTTGAAAAGTGAATTTTTTTTTCAGTTCTGGAGATTGAACCCAGAGTTTATACAATTTCAGTAATCTTTTTTTTTTTTTCTTGTATTTTTTTTTTTTTTATCGGTACTAGGGATCGAACTCATGACTGCCTGCTTGCAAAGCAGGCGCTTATGCCACTGAGCTAAATCCCCAGCCCCGAGTTTATACAATTTCTACAGTTGAGCAACTTCTGCAGTTCTAATCTCAGCGCTTGGGAGGCTAAGGCCAGACAACTACTTGAGTCCAGGAATTCTAGACCAATCCTCATAAATACATAAAAGGAAAGCAAATTATTATATTTAATGTAATTTTAAAACTTACTGTAATAAACTGAAATGTCTAATTGTGTAGTTAGAAAAAAATTGTACCTTAAATTCTTGCTGGAACAAAGTAGTAATAAGTATGCACATAAACAAATATAAAATGTTTCCTTTCCAGTATATATTTTTTCTTCCTGTTTCCTTAGAGAGAAGGGGACTCTGCGATTGAATCCAAGCTCTTTACACTGAGCTACATCTCTAGCCCTTTCCTTTTTTTTTTTTTTTTTTGGAATCTTACTAAATTGCCAAGATTGGGCCTGAAATTTTGATCCTCCTGTCTTGATTTGGTTCTCAATCAATTCAACTTGTGAATAGAACAGTGGAAAAAACTAACTTCAAGATCCAAAGTACCACTGTATCTTATTTTCTGCTTCAGATATTTAAAAGTTCTAAATATTCACGGGCCTGTGTCATTATCTTTGGGATATAAATGCTGAATTTCATACATATTTCATATCATAAAAGACATATCCTGCCAAGAAAGATAATTACTAAATCAATGTCAAATTTGAATACTATTTTTATTAACTCAAAGAAAACAACAACAATTTGTTGAAGAAATGTTTTCAACTCTGATGGCAATGTCCAGGGTATGTTAGGAACATTGGTGTCAAACACACCGTAAAATAGTATATACAGAACTGTATCCCTGAATATTCCTTCAGTCCCTGCATAGGCTAGATTAATATTGCATATAGAAATGATAGCAAGAGTGAGTGTGGTGTACAGAGAATTTATGTGTACCTACTATTTGCCCCTTTAGATGATAACTATATTAGAGGTAACTACTGTAATTCTTTATATGGCAAGGTTGCAAGGTCAGATCTTAGCACTTTGAAGCCTCATCCAATCCTCACATTTTCAAACAATGACACATATTTCATTTGGAAGTAAAACCTGCAATTGTAAATTGTCATGTGCACACACACACACACACTCACACACACAAAAGGATAAAGAACCAGTACTTTAAAATGTTTTATGTTATTTCTGGGCATGTAACACACTCCAGTAATACCAGCACTTGGCAGGCTGAGGCAGGAGGACTGTCACACATCTGAAGCCAGCCAGGGCTACACAGTAAGTTCAAGGCCAGCCAGTAGTGAGGTAGTGAGGTTCTTATCTCAAAAGACCACAAAAAAAAAGAGGCTTTTGCTGTGTACATTACTGACTTCACCCCAGAAAAATGAACTCATTCCCTTTTCCTTTCATTTTTGGGGAAGACTGTTAGAGTCTCTTCCTTTCATAACAGAGTTTATAACAGATTTCATTCTCCTTTATTAAATGTCTTTATAACATTCAAGTTAATTAGTTTTAAGTAGAGCCCTTCATAGAAATGGTTTTAGATGGTATCCTAAACTGTTTCTCTACTTATCAGTGTGGATAATGGGCACACCAGACTTTTAAAGATCCACTGAGACAATAGAACTTCACTCTGGCCTTTCTAAATGAACAGGATCCAAAGAAGTGAGGTCCAGTGGGCAGCAACTACTCACTCCACGCTGGACTTCAAACTAAACTTGGCTCGGCTTGGCTCAGCTCACCTTGTGGAATAGTTTCCTAGTCAGTGTCCTGACTTGTATATCAGGACTTTCAGAGTGCAAGAGGAGCCCTGGCTTAAGGTCCATTTAACTAGAAGCAACAGGGCAAAGGTCTCATGGGCACAGAAAAGCAAAGTTATCAGCAGTTGAGAATGAAAGATAACAGAGACAATGAAAACCTTTATATATATACAAACAGAGAAAGATACCTGAAAACACCCTTTGACCAACTATCTAGAAAAAATCTGCATTTAGGACACAGAAGATATTTGACTCATTTTTATTTGCAAATACCTGTGAGGTGTCCACTCATAGTTTTGTCGTGACTATTGAATAACTGCCTGTATTTCAGTCTTGAGGACTGAGGCACAGCCCATTCTGCTGCTGGAGGGACACTGTGAAAAAAGACAGAGAGAAAGATTATTAAGTAGAAGCAATAATCTATTAAAGTCTTTTAAAAACTTAACTAAGAAGCATGCCTGTAATCTCAGCATTCAGGAGGCTGAAGCACAAGGATTGCTGCAAGTCTAAGGCTACTCTAGGTTACACTGTGCACCATGAGTTCAAGGTCAGCCCGGACTACATAGTGAGATTCTCAAAAAAAAAAAAAAAAGGCAAAAAACCAAACAGCTTTACATATCTAACTTTAATAAGTTTCCCATTTTTCCCCCAGCATTGGGTGTGAAACTTTGTATGCTAGCAAACCCTTCACCACCGAGCACCAGCCTTCACCCTTCTGTTACAGTAACACATACTGCTCCTAAAGTAAATAAGGTCATTAATTTTCCAGAAACTAGACAAAGAGACCAAAGTGACTATTGCATGTTACATACGTAATTCAATTACACTAATGAAACATGCAAAATTTCCTCAGTACTGAAGCAATATAACAATAACCACACCATCCCAAGCATCTATCTGAATATGTGGGCTGAAAAGCAATGCTGACAAACTGGATGCAGTGCGGCTCACATCTGTAGCCTCAGCACTTGGTAGGCCGAGGCAGAAGGATCAAGAGTTCAAGCCCAGTCTAGGCTGTATAGCAAGACTCTATCTCAAAAAATAACAAAAAAGCAATGATGACAAATAAATCCCTCTAATGGAATTACTTTTCCAAAATGGGAGAAGTTTAATTCCCACCGAGTAGTTTTCCAGGGAGAACGGAGTAGCAAGATCCATGGCTAATCAGTGGCAGCACAGCCCTCCCCTTGCCCATGTGCTGGAGCCCGAGTTGAGCAAACCCTGCTAGCAGTCAGCCTGGCCTCTCTCTCCTCGCCTGCCACAGCCCGCATAGCATTATGCTACAGTTTACTAGGAGACCTTCCTCCAAATCAAGTCATTTAAATTTCAGGTCAACTCATACACTGACCTGACATTAAACCTGGCATTCCACTTCCAGGACAGAATACAACTAAGGACCCAAGGCAATTTCCCTTTACTATAATAAAAATATTTGTCTCACATATGAAAAGCAAAATTTTAACCATGCAATGCACTTCAAGGCATCATTTATAGGTGTTATCTATGTACATATACTTGCAGTATATAGTTCATAAAGCATAAGAAAGTTTTCTAGCACATGAAGAATACCTATGTAAATACACTTTTTCTATTTTTATTGATTTCTAAATAAAAAACACTTACCATAATCTATTCTGCTGTGAGTACCACTGCAACAACTCTCTCATTTTAACTAATATTTTGGTGATTTCACCTCCTGCCTATTTGTAAAGAAGCTAACTATCTCAGTTCTGCACCCCAGAGATAAAGGGTGTTATACACAGAAGGTACCCCAGATTACACTTATCAGGTCATGGTTCTCTGCCAATTCCTAAGAATTTGAATAGACTAAATATTCACTAACATGTTACCCAAAAGTTAGTTACTACTTGAAAAACTGACTGGAAATTTAAATTATTGAAAACATGACTATGAAACTTGAAGACAAACTTACAGTAATCTTAATAGCATTAATTTCTGCTAATAATGAATGATATTCATTCTAACCTCAGAAATCAATTTTAAGGCAGATTTCAAAATCCTCCATAAGTTACGGAAAACACACAACTTCAGCATGGTAGGGAAGAAAAAATTTAAAAACTGGATTAGATGACGAGCTTAAACTGTTATTATGAATAAGGAACACAATTTCTGAGTTTGCTTCCTCACAATCTTGAGCACAGGTGGATGCGGGGTAGAATTGGATGAATATGATACCTACCAAGCAGAAAATCAGTTAATGCTCAATCATATTAAAAGTAAAATCGTAATTAAATGGAACAGAAACACCTGTATATCATAACAAACTGAAAATCTTTAGGGTAAATTTGCACAGTTAAGAGCACATGCCTTCAAATCAGGAAAAAACTGAGTAGAACTCAACACTGTCACATATGAGCTACATTATCATGAGCAGTTAATGTCTTGAAACTTGTTCTTCATCTAAAACATAGTGAAAAAACAGTCACCTTATGGGGAAGAATGAGTTAATGTGCACGAAGCTTTTGGCACAGTGCTTTTCACTTTACAAATTTTTCTAAATAATTTTTTAAGGTAATGTAATTTTGGATTATACTCAACATACTATCTTTAAAGAAGGAAAATGATTTGCTGATGAAAGAACTTTTATTGAAAACTGACACAAGAAAAGCTGGAATCATCCTCATTTATATTCTGTTTCATTCCATAAGCTGTTAAGATTACTTACAAATAGTCTGTATTTGCCAACTGAGTGTAGCAATATGCAAGGGACAAATATGAGGCCAAAGAAAACAAAAATAAGTAATAAGGTTTTTTTTCCAAAAACCAAGTCACATATTTGAGATATGTGAGCTGAGCACTAACCTGAATAATTCATTTTATAAAAATCGGTCTTCAATACAGTTTTATTAAGTCACACAGACTCCATGAGATTATGAGACAATTAAAATCAATTGTGCCTCCAATCAATACTTAAAAGATTTACACATAAACTTTTAAGTGGTTAACCCAAAGTAGTTCATTTGCTTTCCCTCCATAGACAGATCAATTTAAAACTACTAGAATGTGTGTTTTAGGGGCAGAACTCAGGGCTTTATGCACAGGAGGGTACCACTCTACCTCTGAACTACACCTCCCGCAACTAAAATTACCTTTTGGTTTTCAAAATACACAAAGCCTTTAAGGAAATGGCACGTTCTTGATTTTGGTTATCCCTGCATTATCCAGATTTTGAAAAATTATTTGCATTCTACAAAATTAAGGTAGAAAGTTAAGGGTATATATAATCTATTCACAAAAGTTAATCAGATGATTTTAGGCAAACTTCTCATTGAAACCAAGCAGGCTTACCTGGCCACATCAAATGATTGTGCCTTCTGTAATTTAGTGTTTAACTGTGACCCTGGCCCAGATCTACTGAAGGAAGAACTCTTTGGCAATGTGGCTGCTGTAAAAAGAAATGGTGAATAATTTTAATTCCACAAACATAAGAAGCTTCCCCCTATGTCCCCGAGTTAAAAAATCTGAGGCAGAATTAATCCTTTTCTTTCCATGCTGAACTCAGTGTACTGCCTCTCAGTCTTTGCCCAATGCCAAAAACATGCATAGATTTACTTATGCTGTGAATCACCTGAGTAGCAATGCAGACAATATACAAAATTGTACTCTTTGCTAAGCATTTAGTATCACATTTAATAAGATTTATTGCAATAATTAAAGAACAGTTTAAATGTACATTTTCTTAACTGCACTGAGGGAGCCGAAGTGATGTAAGGCCGACAAGTGTTGCCAGATAACTTGCGATGCAAGGGAGGGGCAGCCGTTAGTCTGATTCGCACTGCACCTGATTAGGTGTCTGTCCATCTGTCTGCCCATCCAGGAATAGCACTTCCAGCCTTGCCACCCTCCACTGCCTTCACCCTGGCCTCACCACATCCATCAACAGGCACACAAGAATACAAAGACTCAGGGTGTGAGGGTCGCCTGATACGACTGAAAAACACCACCATGTGCTTTCTCATCTGCAGCCACAATCGCATGTGAATGATGGATGCATGTGACCAGAAAATAAAGGGCTTCATCCGTCCCTTGGCTATCGTTTAGAGATATATCCCAACATTCATAATAAACCTCTAAGGCACTTCAGCCACAAAACAGCGTTTTAAGCATAATGGTAAAACCTAAGACATTCCAAACTGTCCTTTTGTGAGAAATACAAACACACACTGCATGTCAGTATATACTGATATGAATTCATTACGATTAGGCTGGACTAATGCCTACACTGACATTACACACTTTACCTAAAGGAAGACTTTGAATAAAGTCTCAAGAAGAAATTAATTAAACTAGAAATCTTTAAATCCTTTTCTACAATTAAGCAAGCATAAAATACTATAGACAATATATTTTAAGCCATTTAATTGAATTCCTTCCCCATTCTGCCTGATTTCACTCCACCTCCTCAAAAACACATGCAACATTCATTTTTTTCCATTTATTATCAATTCATAGCAGCTAAAAAAAAGTAGTTAACTAGTATAGGAAAATACAAAATGTTCAAATATTGTATAACTTCAGTTGCTCTTATCAAGCACTTGAAAGGAAATTATGCTCTTGGTTTTCACTGTTGAGTTCACCTTTGTCTGAAGAGGTACTCAGAGGTCTCTTGACCCTGGCTTTCAGCACTTAGTATGAGAAATTAAATGGGGGGTGGGGAGACATTTTCCCTTGGAACAAAATATCACTTAAATGTAATTTGGAAGTGACAAAAGATTTAACAAAATGGGCAGCACAATGTCAGTTTTGGTTGCAGCAGTACACATACCAGGGTGAGCAAAGGCAGGCAGAGGCTGGATGACGGGGGGAGCCCCATTAGCCAAGGGAGGCACTGCTGTTGGAGGGACAGAAGATACTAAGGGTGGAGACATTCCAACAACTGGGATGGACCCCATTGGCACTGGAGCAACAGCTGGAAGCGGTGGCATGCTGGCGATACCGCCTATACCTATGAAGAGAAAGAGCACAACAAAATTCATATCCCATCACATCCCAACAACTTGTGAAAACTAACCCAGTGCTGTTAGAATAAGAAAAACCAAACATTTCCTGTCATAATAGATGACCACATAAAACATGGCTTGAGAGCTGGGATGTAGCTCACTGGTAGAGTGCTTCCCTAGTGTGCATGAAGCCGTGAGTTCAGTCTTTACTTGTGCTACTATGACGCCTCAATGTCTTACATCTATCAAAACATCTATTTTTCATGGCCATTTTGACATTGGGGTTAGAGTCAGAAGTGACACAGTATTGGATGTGGTGAATACGCAGGGTGAGACAAGCGGTAAGGTTTTTGCAGCCTGCCCTTCTGCTAGGCGATACCTGGCAGCAACATTCACTGTATGTTTGACTGCCTCTCGTAAAGACGCAAAGCAGGACTTCTGCGGGGTGTGTTCAGACAGAGGGAGAGTATTCTGACAAGAGACTGAGGGCAATGTGTCTCTTACTATCCACTTATTTTTAAATGTAAATGTTTACAGTGTATTTCAATCACTGCCTAGTAGATATATGGCTCTAAATAAATCGTTTTGAACAATATAAAAAACTTTGTTAAGGATGACATCAAAAGAATTCAAGACCCAAACTCAAGAAGGATTAATCAAGACAAAGACTAGTAAGAATAAATAACTGCAGTAGATTTAACCGAATCAAATATAAGTAAATCCCCAGGTTCAACACCATATTTAAAAAAAAATCCTAACTGATCCCCATAGGAAGATGTTAGGTAATCAATCTCTTATTTTGAAAACCAGTAAAGAAAGGAAATAACATCATCTGACTCGCTTTTTCTATACACTGTGTACCTCAGGGAACAAAATATTTGATAGGGAGAGGAGAATAGTTTTTTTTTCAAATACATCCTAACCAATAACTGAAGAAGGGTAGAACAAAGTCAATGTTGTCTTTCTTGTTATTTCTTCGTTTCAACTTTAATGCTTTCTTCCTTTCATATGCCCTGGTACATGCACACACTGGAGGGCTGGTCAGGGCTGTGCAGCTGGGTTGGGTCCACCCAGTCTCAAACGCACCTGTGCACAACCTCCCTCAGCCATCTGCGGCAAGCCCATCACCTCCAATGACAAAGGTGCTGGGAATCAGCACTCCCCTCATCTCCAAAATAGAGCCGAGAGCAAGGCTGCTGGAACCCACAACCCGGCCCCCATCCTGGCAGAACCTCTAGGTTAACCATGCTAGAGGCCAGGGATAAGAACTGTACTGATCCCACCTGAATCTCATCAGTCTTTCAAACATAAAGGCTCCTCAGCCAGTCATATACCTTTGTTTAATTTGAGAAGCACTGAAACAGCTGCTTTGTCAACACTGTCCACTCTTATAGTTGCCTCTGGGGACAGGGTTGCTGATCTCATTCCACTGTGATTGAAAATCCTACACTTGAAAAAAAAATCTTAAGTTTCTTTTAATCTGGAAACTACGCTATAACGTTTTTCTTCAAAATTTATCTATTAAAATCCAATACTGATTTTACTGATTATAGTCTCCTGGTACACTTCATGCATAGCCCAGGCTGGCCTTGGACTCAAAAGTCATCCTCCTGCCTCAGCCTCCTGAGTGCTGAGATTACAGGTATACGCCACTACACCTGGCTCCAAGTATCTCTTTTCATTATAATATATCTTCTTGTTTTTTTTGTAGATCACATCATATTCTCTTTCAAACATAGTTCCCAATCTCTTACTTCAAAAAAGTTGTCTTGCATCCACTTTACCATTTACTATTTACATGATTGTTTTCTTCTTCAGGAACTCCTAGGAATCATATAATAAACCTCTTTGCTTTCATTTTTGTCAGTTTCTCATCTCTTTTATATCTTTTTGTTTCTTTATAATTTAAAACAATTTTTCCTTCTTTTATGTTTTATACACATAGTATATCTTTCCTACGTTGCTTTTACTCTAACCTTCTTTTCTAAAATGAATTTTTGTTCTATTTATGTTTATTTCCTGAGTTCTGTGCCTTATTTCTGAGATTTTAAAATTATGATTTATGTTGGCCTGTCACCCATTGCTCTCCGGTTAGACTGACCTCATACAGCAACACATCATCAGTGTGCAGCAAGTTGACTATGGTGTCAGGATTAGATTACAAGATTACTCGATGACTACATTAAACTATGCTCCAAATCAGGGTGTTTGTTTAAAATGGCAACTTACTCAGGCACCAATAAAAAACAACATACACAGTACAAACTAAAAACTTGCCACAAGGCAGCATTCAGACTTTTTTTTGTTTTGTTTGGTTTGGTTTGGTTTGGTTTGGTTTGGTACTGAGGATCGAAATCATGACCTTGCGCTTTCCAGGCAGGCGCTTATGCCACTGAGCTAGGTCCCCGGCCCAGCATTCAGACTCTTAAATGGGACCACCACACAGTACCAGGCAGGCCAGCTAACCTTCAGGGATTTGCCCTCACCCTACGACAGACCCTTAGGTCTCTCTTTTGGTGGTGTGGGAATTAAAGCCAGGGGTGCTCTGACACTGATCTACACCCTTACTATAAAAGGAGCTACCCTCAGCAATGCTAAGAAGGAAGACTTTAAAATATCTCAAATTAATCAATACTAAATAGATTAAACAAAAATCAATCAACAGTTTTAAAAACAAGACCAAATTAGTAAGATGCATCTTGCAAGCTTCCAAATCTCTTTAAGTCTTATATCATAATTTTTCCATTATTAAGTTTCCCACTTGACTTTCAAAACCCATTGCAGACTCTATCAACTGAAAATCTTCTCTCTTCTTTTTTTCTTTTCCTTCTTTCCTTCTCCTCGTCCTTCTTCCTCTCTCTCTGTCTCTGTCTCTCTCTCTCTCCAGGATCTTGCTAAGTAGCTCAGGCAGGCAGAGGCTGGCCTCGAACTCATGGTGATCCTCCTGCCTCAGCCTCCTGAGTGCCAGAATCACCACCAGACCCGGCTGAGAATCTTCTCTGAACAAAAAAGTTTCTAATTAAATCATTATCTGTGGTGTTAAGCCTTAATTCCTGCATTCACCCATCTCTCCTTTATTACTGAGTTTCATTCTCTATAAAGCACACAGAGCATGTTAGTCTACAGTTGTGCACGGGGTCTCCTCACTGCAGGTAAGCTACCTCCTCTCCTAAGACTCTGATCAGGCACTGGTCACAGCCACTCCGCCGGACAGGTAATTAGCATCATTCATGAGTTCACCCTGCCAAACCCAATCTTCTTACCCCACCTCTCAGAAGCACACATCAGGATACTCCCTGGTCCTCGAAACGTGTCCTTCCATCCTGTGACTCTCTGCTTCTGGCTTCTTCTCTGTTACCAGACCTTTTGATGTCATGTCATGACAAGGCTCCTCACTTCCTCATCTGTTCTCTGCTAGCTATACTTTCTCCTTCAGACACCAGGCTCCATCCAGGGTCCTCGGTGCCATTCACATCTGCATTCACCTGAAGCTGGGGCCTTTCTTGAGTTCCAGGCACTAACAGTCATCCCTGCTTCCTGAACATCTCAACCTAAAATCTACTTGGCCCCTCAAACACTGATGTCCCCTTCAAAACCATTTTCTTCTAGTTATTCCCATTCCAAGATGTGGTCATGCCATCCAACTAGTTACTCATGCTAAATTCTTAGTTCTTATTTGTAATCCATTAACAAGTCCTTTTTACTTTTCTTCCAAGGACAGAATAAAATGAATCCAATATGACATCCACTTAAGTATCCAGATCTAAATCACTCTTAGCTAAATTGAGCTGAGAGATGGAACAAAACTACTAGCAAAGGCCACACCTTGGTTAAACTTGTGCAAACCTGATAAAGATCATGCACATGTAACTGCTTCCATCCTGAAAACAGTTTACTAAGAATGAACTCATGATAAGAACAAGGTGAGGACAGCCAGGAAGAAACTGAGAGAAAAAGATTTAGGGAACTGTTATCACCAGGATTCCTGGTGGCTTCCCTTAGTTCTGATAGCAGTGGCAGGTTACTTAACTGATGATAAGCCTCTGAGCAGTGACACTACAATCTCCTGACAATAAATCAGCAATATCCTTGCAGCAAGAAGCCCTAGAGCAGAATGGACTAAAAGAAAACAAATCAATTGTTAAGAATTACTGAGTCCCAAGTTTGAGGGAAAAGAGGAACTGGGATACTACTGATTGATTACTGGACTCTTTTTCCACTCTGTTTCTTCTTGTAGAAATGGAAGGAGGCCAAAACAAAACCAAGCACCCTTCCACTGTCTTAAGCTATGGGTCTGAACTGAAAATTGGCTACTGGAACTTTCAGAGATTCAGAGCAAAAAAATCCACATTAATGGACTTAAATAGCTAACTAAAGGCTAAGGTGTACAAACATAAAGGGACAAGACAACCACAGGCCTGGTCACATGGGGCCAACTGATCTGCTCACTTCTGCTCTCCCAGGCCCCTTTTCTCACATGGGAGTTCTTCTCGTGGACCACTGTCCTAGCAACTCAAGTACCTCTCCCAAACCCACACTTTCCCTCTCAAAAAGGGAAAAACATAATAAAATAAAATGGCCAAGTATAGTAATACAAGCCTGTAATCCCAGCTACTTTGGAAGCTGAGGCATGTGGTTCAAAGACTGAGGTCAGCCCAAGAAACTTAGCAAGCCTGTGCACAAGTTAAAAATAAAAAGGAATTGGGATATATCTTGGTAGGTCAACCCTGGGTATGATCCTCAGGACTGAGTGAGAAAAGAGAGACAGGCAGACAGACAGATACAAAGAGAGAGACAGAGAGACAAAGAGGAACCCAGTCTTCAGGCTAAATTGTATAAGAAAGTCTTATCTTTTTCCTGCAATTTTCTTCTTCTTGTTGTAACACTGACATTCTTAGAAAAAATGCACACACCCCCAAAAGGCAATACAGCTTTGTTTTTAATAGTACATTTCATACGTAAAACCAGTTATTTATTTTGGTTTGCCATTACTTGTATAAGGGAAAATCTAAATTGCCTATCAGTAAGCCTACTTATCAGGATGAAGAGAAACTCCACGATTTTTCTATTTGTTTTTAACAGTTTATGAACCTCTGCATGAGTCATGATTGATCTTATTACCATAAACTTTAAATCATCTAACTAGTTAAAAGTCTGAAATCAGAACTATTGATGATCTTAATCAAGTAATTATTAATTAGCTTGTAAGAAAAACACCTGTGTGAAAATATGTTATAAAAATATAGGGGGGCTTTTTTTGTGTGTGTGAAACAGGTTCTCATTTTGTAGTTCTGGCTGGCCTTGCACACCCAGCAACCCTTCTGCCTCAGCAACCCAAGTAGAATTACATTTTTAAAGGAGGTGACAATGCTTACTTTTTTCCATTCCTTTTTGTTCTGACACAGAACTTAATGTAGGCTACCGTGATTTGAGGGAGCCCCTTCGTGTCCCGAAGCTGGGCCTGGCTGTGGTGATGGGGGACACGGAAGACCTTTAAGAAATGGGCCTATTGGGGCTGGGGATTTAGCTCAGCAGGCATAAGCGTCTGCCTTGCAAGCAGGCAGTCGTGAGTTCGATCCCTGGTACTGATAAAAAAAAAGGAAAAAGAGAGAGAGAGAGAAATGGGCCTACTGCGTGGTGCTCACTACCTTCAGAGCCGCCCTCAGGAGGAATGAGCAGCTCGCAGGGGAAGCTGTAGCTCGCAGCAGCTCCTTGGGGAAGCTGTAGGAAGAGGCGCCTGATCCTTGAATCCTGACCCTTGAATCGCTCTCTCTGGCTTATTTCAAGATGTGACCTTTCCCTCACATACACTCCCACCATCACACCTCAAGTTGCACCAATGCTGGTGCCTGGTCCTTGAGTCTCCAGGACTATTAAGCAAATCTCTTTAAAAATAAAGTTAGCTGTTCCAAGTACTTTGTTCTTATAAGGCAAAGCAAGCTAATACAGTGGCCAAATGAGTCAATACTATGCATCAAAAATATATTCCTAGATAGCACAACCCAAAGGAACTGTTGCGCTAAGGAGAAACAAAGGCCTTCTTAAGACAGTAAACTGAAAAGAAGTGCCTGGCAGTATGAAAGGTCACTGCAAAAAGCAAGACAGAAGAAGGGCCGGCAGGTCTGCTCCTGCACCCTGAATTTCCTTCCAGGTGCTCCTTCAGCTTTATCTTCCTGCAAAGGGCCAGAAGTTTTCAAGCAGAATTACCCCCTCGAATTTCATAAGGCTATAACCACAGAAGGGGAGAAAGGGGAAACATCATCTATTTTTAAACAATTCAGTGAAACAGAAACCAATTCCTTTTCAGACTTACCAAATGCTGGTGCACTAGAAATAGCAACTGGTTGCTGCTTCATGACAGGAGGAAGTGCAGAGGGGAGCTGATAGCCTTGCAGCTTCAGTTTGATCAGCTTCATGGCTATGGAAAACTCCACTTGATCCATTCTTCCATCATTATTCATGTCAGCTAGTGCCCTGCAAAACAGTGGCATAAGCTCAGAACAATTGTGACCATCAAAAAGTTTCTCCAGCCCCTAATTCCACAGTGCAGAAATAAAATAATTAGCTCCTTTCCTCTAGGGAGAACAAAGCAAAACTTGTTTTCCACACATTGGGGGAGAACCAATGAAGACCAGCAAGGTCCTACATGAATGCAGTGTCTTTTACTTTGTTACTTGATGATACATCATATAATTTTCAGTCTGATTTTGAGGATTTGATAGGTTTCATTTTGATTGCCAATATTCTAAATATTCTAAAATTAGTGGTGTCATACAACTTTATGAATATAATACAAACCACTGAATTATATGGTTTAAAAGGGTTTATTTTATTATGTGAATTGTGTACCAATTAATTCTGTAAGAAAAAAAGGATTAAGAAAGGGTATAATTTCTAGAGATAAGTGGTTAAATTATGTGAACAGCATAGTTCTATAAACTTCACCATGCGGACATGATGTGATTGCCACATTGTCCTTGGCTATGCAGTGCAACTGTATACTGCCATACAGCTATATCCTAATGGTCTTCAATTAACTTTTTTCTACAATTCTACATGTACATTCAACAAGTATTAACTTTGAGCTTATGAGATGCTTGGCATTTGAAAATGCTACTACTAACAAGATCCAAAAACAATTTAGGAGTTTCTAAGTGAAAAATTTTCTCTTAGAGAAAAGTAAGCAAAAGAAAGAAAAGGGATTGTACTTCTATTGAAAACTATATTATTAAAAACCAAAACTGTGCATCCTTATGATTTACATGAGAAGTCTTTACATAGAGGGGTAGATGGGAAGCAAGTAAGGAGTCAAAAGATGTGTTACACAGGTACCAGTGCCCTAGGATGAATACAGTTGTTGCATACTAATAAATAAAAGTTTGAATTCTTTTACTCACGATATTAAAAATGCAAAACAAAAAAATTACAAATGCAGACTTTCCTAAATTAACCCTATGAAAAAATCTATTTGAAACATCAAGATAAGCCAGTCCATTAAAATGCATTACTATCAATATTTTAAAAGACTTAAACTTTTACTAGCCTATTCACTTTCGTGCATATCTTTACCATCCAGAAATTTTGTATTTTTATATAGAATTTGTTATCACAACTTGTACGATTTCAGTAAGATTGTATTATTTACTTTTGTTTTTTGCACCAAGATCTCCCTATGTTGCCCAGGCTAGCCTTGAACACACTGAACTCTCAAATCCTCCCATCTCAGCTTCCGGAATATCTGGGATTACAATTACAGGTGCCTGCACCCTCCTCATCCCTTGGCTACATTTGTATTATTCCATTACATTTCAATCTTCAAATCACCTACAATTACATTGATTTGTGTGTTATATTATTCAAGAGCACACCCTTGTGAATTTTTCTAGATGGATACCTGATTTTGCCAGCAATATTAGTTACCTAACCCCTCCTCTTCTTAATGAACTTGTATGTTTTTGTTGTGTATTATCACACATCCATCTGGAATGAGGCTGGGCACAGTGGCACTCAGGAGGCTTAGGCAGCTGTGAGTTCAAGGCTACAAAGCGAGTTTTAAGCCAACCTGGATTGCATAGTAGAAATCTATCTCAAAACAAACAAAAAGTTCATCCAGAATGAGATTTCTGGATTATCTCTTCTGACTGAATAAACATAATGGTGATCTGATCACATGGGCCCTATGGTATGTTCTAAGATAAAGCAAAGCCTTTTTCCTTTTTTAAAAAACTTTCCTTGGCTATTCATGAATGTTCGCTTTTCCCTATCAACTTCCAGATTATTTTCTCTATTCTACATGCAGTCCTATAGAGATCTAAAAACTGCATTAGATTTGCACGTTTTTTAGAGAACTGATACATGCGTATGTGTAACTGTCTGCTCATTGATGTCCTTCTACGTCTTCAGTTCTATTTCCTCCAGTAAGACTGTATCACATTCTTCATAAAGTAATAAACTTAAAATTACTGTATTCTAAGAAACTTTATCATTTTTGTCAGAACTTTAAATGGAATACTTGTACATTTTGGGGGGCTAATTTCAAGGATAAACTATGCTTTTAATTTTTAAAAACCATCTGTGCTATATTTATCTTACAAATTTCTATGAATTTTTCTAAGTTTAAAAAAACTAAAATTTCTTAGGTTTAGTAAATAATCACATAACTCAAAAAAAGTATCACCTTTCTTTCCCAATATTTATTACAATCTTTATTGTTCTTATTTGCTTCTGTTTAGTTGAATTTAAGTGAAAGTGCTTCAGTATTCCACTACTTCTAATTATGTTTGGTGGTGTTTTTTTTGGAATACAGTCTGACATACTTAAAACAGTTCTCTTTCAACTTACCAGAAGAGGTTACTGTAACTTTTATGAAAGACCTAATCTGCATTTGCACATCTGATCACAGGTTTTCTTTTTTCCTCTTAGCTGCTGATGTAAGCCAAATGGTGACAGAATTCCTTGGTTCTGAAACAGTCTTACACCTCTGGCATACACTCAACTTGGTCACTGTACTTTATTCTTTTCAAACATTGTGCAATTCTACTTGCTAAGGTTATATTTTGGATTTTGTGTCTAAATTCATAACTGAATTTGGTTCCCAGTTGCTTTATTTTTGTATTTTCAGATTTCATAAAGGGAAGTTAGGTAAATAAAATGACATAGCAAACTTGCCTTCGTTTACTAAGTATTTTTATGGTTCAAAATGTTTTGAACAGGGAAAAAAAGACTTCATTAATTAACATCAGCATAAATTAGGGGAGAAGACATTTTCTAATAATGGCTTAATTAGAATAATTTATTGTTTCTAAAAACTTCCCATTAAAGTGTCTACCCTGGCAAGGAGCAGAAACACGTAATCCTCAGGTTTATGGGCTTAACTTTAAACCACCTGACATAATCTCAACATTCAGCTGAGTTTTGTAGTTTTCAAAACATTTTCTTCTCAAACAACAAAACAACTGTTGAGATTCCTTAATGACAGGAAACTCAAAGGAATTTATGAAGATGTAGTTATTCATACAAAGCTTTCTATCTTTTCTATCCTTTCCTTCTCTAGGTCCCAAAGCACTGGAATAGAGTTGATATTCTACTTCTCAATGCTTCTCTGCAAAAAAAGAAAGAAACCCACTTTAGTTCTGCCATCTATTTCATTTTCCATTTTAGTTATTTATCCAGTTAACCCATTTTTACTAATCCTCCCTTGACTATATATAAGCCTAATAAAACTGAAATTTAATTCACAAATTTCCAAAGTAAAAATGTATACTAAAATAGCAAATATTATTACATATGACTCTGTAGGCAAAATGATTTTCAATACAGTGTTCAGACTGAAATTAAAAGCTATTTGAGCCAGGCGTGGTGGTGTACACGTGTAATCCCAACACTCCGGGAGGCTGAGGTAGGAGGATTGTTGTGAGTGCAACACCAGCCTGGGCTACAAAGTGAGGTCAAGGTCAGCCTGAACTGCATGTCAAGACCCTGTCTCAAAGTATTTAAAACAAAACAAAACAAAAAAAGCTATTTGAAACACAGCTGGGATGAGAAGAGTCCAAAATGAATGAAAATTACATGCATTTACTTTTTAACCCAGGAATTTACTCTAAAGATACATTTTAGCAATACAAAAGTATATATGCAAAAACTCACTCACTGTTGCATTACCTATAATCACAAAATGTTAGAAATAATCTAACTGGGGGGCTGGGAATTTAGCTCAGCGGCGTAAGCGCCTGCCTTGAAAGCAGGCAGTCGTGAGTTCGATCCCCGGTACCGATAAAAAAGGAAAAAGACCAAAAAAAAAGAAATAATCTAACTGTATAAACACAGGACAATGATTGAATAAACCAAAGTATAACCTCCACAATGAGCGTACTACATAATGAGAAAAGTCTCTGTAGAGTATTATGAATAGTTTCCAAGATATGTCAAGATTTTTAAAAAACCAAACAATAAAACAGTATCTGTAACAGGTTTTCTTTAATGCAGGAGGAAGATAAAAAGATCTACATATAAATATATATACATTATATTTATATAATTATGTGTATATATAAGTGTATACACATATAATTTATAAATATATACACATCTGCTACCCCTCCACAAATAACCAAGGTGAATAAGAAAATAGTAAAGTCAGTGGTGACGGGACAGTAAGAAGAATACGAGTGGCCTTTTCTGGAAATACCTCTTGGTATACTTTTGGCTGCAGAGCCTTGTTGATGTGCTACATATTTAAAAACTAAAGCCTACCAAGAGAACTAATAGCATATTATTTTAAGTTTATTGTACAGAGGGCTTTACACATGCTAGGCAAGCACCTTGCTGCTGAGCTACATTCCTGGCCCAGCTACATTCCAGGCCGGTTGTATCCATAAAAGAGGAGGGCATGAAAAGCTAAAGGAACTAATTTATATAAACATTGTACTTTACATGTCCTCAGCTTAAAAACAAAAGAACTACAAAGTAATCTTGGAGTTAACAGGCTATTTTCTACTGGACACAAATGTAGCAACTTTGAATTAGGGAGGAGGCTGGATTTCTCAGCCCCATCTGCATCCCAGTTGCCGGGCAAAAGCCTACAGCTGTCTTTAGGAGCCCACCTCTGCCACACAGGATTCTGATGGGCTGCTCACCTCCCCCCACCTGGCGGCCACCAAGCTAAACAAAAGACCAAGTAATAATGTAGATTAATCCATCTTGGTCATTCAAAAAAAAACTATGGGGGTGGCATCTAGGGGCTATCTAGAATTTGGAATTTTGATTAAAAAAAAAAAAAGGCATGGTCATTGCCCTCATAAAGTTTATATTCTGGTGCAAGGAGACACTAAAAATAACAAATCAGATTATTCTGTATGATATTAAGTGTTATTAAGATATGGGGAAAAAAGAAAGAAGAGCAGGTGGGCAGAATAAGCATGGGTTAAACCAGTTTGTCAGGAAACACCTCTGGTGACACTGAAAACTGAAAGGTCATGAACCAACTACAAGAGGGTCTGGAATGGTATTAAAGGAAGCACAATAACTCTGAGGCAAAGAATAGAAAAGGTAAATTCTGGAGAGCATAAACTGAGAAAGGAAGTAATACAAAATAAGAAAAGGAGCTGGGCGTGCTGGTTTTTCGCTTATGACCCAGGCACTCTTAGAAGGCTGAAGCAGGAAAACCACAAACTGGAATGCAGCCTGAGCAATTTAGTAACACCCTGCCTCAAAAGAAAAAATAAAAAGAGCTGGAGATGCAGCTCAGTGCAAAGGTCCTGGGTTTGCAGATCACATGAGACCTACAGCTTTGGGGATGGCACTGGATTTTATTCTCAGTGGAAAATTTTAATGCATTTACATTTTAAATAGATTGTTCCACCTCCTGTTTGGAGAACAGGATTTCAAAATGCAAATGTGAAAGAGAATCTGGTCTAGATGTTGTAGTTGTGGGACCCGAAGAGTTGATAGAAAGAAATGGCACGATGGAGATAAAGTGAGTAAACAGAGTCAAAAGTACACGCTGATGCACTGACATGTGGGGCGAAGAAGGGGACTCAGACATGGCTCCTTCACGCAAGTCTGGGCAGCTAGGTGACAGGCTCAATGCCCTGGACTCAGAAGTAAGCAGGAAGAGTTTAGGATGACTTCTAGGAGCAGGGGTTCAGCAAACTGGCCTTGCTGTGGGTCAAAGGCCCTTCTGACACACACTCAAGAGTCCTGACAGTCATATGGCCCTCCACCCTGGAACCCAAGCCTGTCTCATCAATTCTGCTCCCTTCTGATCTCTCTGGAGCCTCCTTCCAGGTGCCGCTGCTCTCTTTCTCTCCTTTCTCTCCATTTCTATGGGTCTTGTGGTCTCAGATTCCCCAACCTCTCATGCAGCCTCTTTACCCCTACTTCTTTTTCTTTCCTGTCCCTTCTGGTTCTTATCTATCCCCTTGGGCTTCTCCAACTCCTCCACAAAAGGCAAGATTTGAACAATGTTAAGCATTTAGACAACATTGCCGAAAAGAATACTGGCCAGTTTCTTTACAGTTCTTCATTTCTAAGAAGTAAGACAACTTCTAAGAAGTATCATCTGTGGCCACTGCTGTAATTTGGCATTACACACAATGACCAAACACTGTCTTCTTAGAATTCAAGTTTTCTTGTATTATTCACTGGAAATTAGAGAGAAGACACAAGTAGTTCTCAGAGTATGAATGGGCACAGTTCACACAAACTAGTTAACTGGAATGTAGTTTCTACACATCAACAAAACAGTAAAAAGGTTTCTAGCAGTATATTCCTCATCAATTTACATCCCTTATGTATTTAAAATGAAGTGCAGAACCAAGAAAGTCAGCTTGAGCAAGTTAGAGACCGACAGACAAGACAGTCAGAGAGAAGGGAAGGGAGGAAAGCGGGAGAAGCAAAGAGAATGGGAGTCGCAGAAACAGAAAGGAGAGAGACCCACAGGGAGGAAACTGAGATAAGGAAGATCTTCAGTTCTCAATGAAAAGCATTAGGAAAAGTGACTTTAAGGGCTGAGGGTGTGGCACAGGGGTAGTGCTTGTTAGTGGTGCAAGACCTGGGTCTGAACCCCAGCATGGCAAAAAAGGGTGACTGCCAGCTACACAGTTTAGTTTGGGCCACTAAACTAAAAATAACTTAGAAAACTAACAGCTGTCTTAATTGATAAAAGTGAAATTCATTCAATAGTACCTTGTCTCCTTTCACTAGACTGTAGTTTTGATCAAAGGGTAGATTTTGTCTACTTTGTTGGCTGCTGTATCCCTCATGCTCACAAGAGTCACTAATACAGCAGAAATCTGATAAATGTTTTTAGCGTCGAAAGAAAAAACATGGCATGGAGCAAGGTGTTCTGGCAGCAGAACATTCATCAAAGATGCTTCATGAATGAAAGATCAAAACAGGACTACAACGGAAAAGCACAATTCAGCAGAAAATTAGTTAAGCCTGAAAAAGCAACTTCAGCAAGAGGTATGGATGAAAGTATAAAGCAGGGTCACGAACCAAGATGCAAAGAAACGAAACTTGTTACAATTAAAACAGGGGCCACAGAAGTCGCGGCACATAACTGACAAGACCACGCTCCTGGGGCTGGGGATTTAGCTCAGCAGCATAAGCGTCTGCCTTGCAAGCGTGTGGTCGTGAGTTCGATCCCTGGTACTGGTAAAAATACAAAAAATAAAAAAAAGACCACGCTCCTTCCCCACATGGCAGGACTTCCTGCCCGGCCTGGAGCCTGTCCTCTCCTGGAGCATTTTGCTTTCCTAGCTGAGCAGACTACAGTTTAAGCTACAATGGCTTCACAGAAGCAGGCTAATGAGGGGAAGGAGGATCAGGCAACCAACATGCTGACAACCAAGAAAAAGAAACCAACATATGAAAACCAGTATGGGAATCTGACATCGTTTACTTTTAATTTGAATGTATCCAAAACAATGAAAAAATATACATATACCTTGAAAATTTTGCTATTTCAGAACATGATTTGCATGATGACCCATAATCAAGAAAAATTCAGGTTAAGCTCTGAAAACTGTTTAAAAGCAACAAGAAGTTAGGCAGATCTTTCTTAATCTCCACAAGATTGCAAACAAAACAGGTAGATCATTAACAGGATAAGCAATGGACATTTTGCTTATGCTGATTATGGTAGTCTCTGATGGCAAGCACTACTTTTTGGGGGTTTTATTTGGAGGGGCAAGTATGGGACAAGAGCCACACTAAGACTTTTACGTATAGTTCTCCCACTAGTCCTCTCAATAATTCTGCAACAAAAACAAAAAAAGTATTCCCATTTTAAAGATTAAGAAATTGAGGTCAAAGAGGATGAATGTATCTTCTAAATCATAGGGACACAGAGTGGAGCAGGTAGGATTTTAACTCAGGTATATGACTGTAAATTATGTGCTCCATCCATGATAGAAAGCTTTCTCCTAACAGGTAAATAAAGCATTAACTATAACAATCTCAAGTCGTGGGAAAATGTGGACCCTCATAGGATAACAGCATTCTGCGTGACTTCTCAAAGCCACGAACCTAGAACCTAGAACTACTATTTGTCATTTCTGCTCTCTCTGTAGCTTTAAAGACTCAATGCCCAGTGTGACAGTTAAAGAATCTGACAATTATCTTTTATGCATTCATCATGTACCATACTGTAATAAATACTGGTTATTTCTTACTTCTACTAACCCTCAAATATTCCCTTAACCATTTACTCTCTAATTAGTAAAAGATAAGGTATATCTCCATTATAAAGCAAAAAATGGGCCAGGGATATAGCTCAGTGCCCCGGAAACTGCTTGGCAAATGCAAGGTTGTGAGTATGATTCCTGGTACTAAATAAATGAATAAATATATAAGCAAGCAAAAAATGTGGGACATTCAAATGAGTATGACTGTTGAAGAGGAAGCCAAATTAATTGTAAGAAAATATCAAAGTGTATATATTTCAACTGGACGTTCAACTTTTTGACAGAATACTACCATTCAGATATCACCCTTCCCCCTTTTCCTATGTTTGACATCACAAGGACAGTTTTCACAAGTACTTTTAGTAAAGTAGCAAGTAGTAAACTAGAAGTGGCAAAAGGAATTAGAGTGTGCCAGCACAGGGATGTAATTCTCTTGTCATAGTATATAAGGAATCATATAAACAAATAAACAGAATTGGACAGTATTTTATTTAATTCTGCTTAATTAAAAGTACAACTTACCATATCTGTGCTAAGACAGGTTGAGGTAACCCAGATTGAAAAAAAAAGTTTCTGGCTTGGTCACCTGTAAATTAAGTGGAAAATATTTCAGAAAAAAAAAAGAACTGCTACTGGAAATCTTACAAAAACAAGAAAAGAACTGTTAATCCTATAAATACTGAACTGAATAGTAAGAAAAGGCAAGCAACAGTTAAATGAATTCATCAGCACTGACCTCAGAACTGAACACTTCAAAAAAAAAAAGCACCTAAGGTCCTAGTATTTGCTGGGATCCACTGTCTACTGAATTTGTCGTTAACTCAGATGTTAGCTGCTCATCATGGTTGCTACTATTTAAATGTTAAATGTTCCCCAGAGGCCTACGTGTTAAAGGCTTCACCCCCAATCTGATGCTCTTGGGAGGTGGTAGAACCTTTACGAAGTAAGGACCAAGAAAGATCATACGTCTTTAGAGCTGTACCCTGAAAGGGCAGAACAGGACCCAGGCCCTGTCTCTTCCTCTCCCTAACACCTGCCCTGAGGGAAGGGGTCTTCTTCATCTCGCTCTCACTATGATGTGCTGTGCCATCCATCACAGGCCCAAAGTAACAGGGCCAGGAGACTCTGGCCTGCCACCTCCTAAGTCGTGAGCCATGATAGGCCTTTCCTTTTTAAAAAAGGTGTTTGTCTCAGCTATTTTGTTATAATGGAAAGCTAACACAATGACAAAGCACCTCTCAAGAAAACAACTGATGGGGCCTGGGATTTAGCTCAGCAGGCATAAGCACCTGCCTTGCAAGCATGCAGTTGTGAGTTCAATCCCCGGTACCAAAAAAAAAAAAAAACTGATAAGCTACATATACTTTATAAAAAAGAATTCTTTGCTATTTCCAATACCTATAGTCCAAATTTTGGTTCCATCTAATATATATATAGAGAGAGAGAAAAAAAAAACCTAACAGTCACTAAAAGAATCACATCAATAATGAAATTTAATAAACTAAAGGAAGTTATAATGCAAACATATCCAAAGGCATTTCTTTAGGAAATCTGTATTGTATTTTTCCTAAAGTGAATTTCAGACGAACAACTGAACAGGAAAGACAGCAGGAAAGTCAAACTACAAAAAGAATTTTAGAGGGAGAACAATAACCATGTTATATAAACACTCAGAACTAGCTTAGGATCAAAATAAAGCAAGTGATTTAGCTTCAGGGCCACTGTCTACTCCTGCCCTCCTTAGAGAACTTTCATTTGATTGTAACCAATTCCATCAGTGCTAGGCCACAAACACTGAGGATTACAAAGTTTAAATGCATCACAAGGAAACCAAAGAGCAAACCAATACAAGCTAAAGATCAAGACTAAACTATGCCCTTCATCATATATACACCCACTTCTGCTCTGCAAAATAACACTTCCAGAGATAACCAACTCACTGCTAAGTAAGCATGTGAAAACACGGACTATAATTACCAGTAATAAATCCAGATATTGGCTTTAAACTGTGGAACTGCTGATCATGCTTTGCTCTTTCCTCTACTGTTATCGCCCAGATATCCAGGCTGCCTACAGTTCAAAGAAAAGACAGGCAAGTTATTCAGCAAGAAAGACGTGGCACAATTTCCACAGCACTTTCAGGCTCTATCAATGTGTTATAAACAGTGTGATAAATTAGCATGGTTTTCTTCAGCAGTTATGCATATAAAATAGAAAATTAAGTCAGAATCAATTAAAAAATCACTGGAAATTCCTTCCTAGAAGCATACCATAATCCTACAGTTAGTATTACTTGCAGATGTATAAAGTCAGTTAATTTTACTGCATTCTCAGGTACTTTAAATGATTCAGCCAAATTATGAACAAAAAATACTGTAGTGATGGTTGTATGACCTTGCAAATTTACTAAAAATCACTGAACTGTATACTGTATGTCTTAAATTAGTGAGGCATATGTTATGATGTTATGTGAATATATTTCACTAAAGCTATTGCTTTTTTTATTTTTATTTTTTGTCTTTTTCGTTTTTATCGGTACCAGGGATCAAACTCACACTTGCAAAGCAGGCGCTTATGCCACTGAGCTAAATCCCCAGCCCCACTAAAGCTATTACTAAAAAGTATTCTGATTAAAAATGATAGCCAACCAAAAAAGAATGGGATTTAGTTTTTCTTCTGATTCAACTCTGAGCAGATGTCTCTTGATTTCTGAGACTCTCTCTTTGATCCTTGGTTTCCTCAAACAAACTCAGCAAAATATTTGTAGATGATTGACATGGAAAGCTTTCAAAAGTTTGGACACTCTCCCAAAAGGAACGTGCAATGTAAATGTTACATACAAAGTGTGAACATGACCCAGGTGTGGTGACACACACACCTGTCACTTCAGTGCTGTGCAGCACTGAGGCTGGAAGACTGCAAGCTTCTTTCAGCTCAGCCTGGGCAACTTAGAAAGAGCCTATCTCAAAATGTTAAAAGTTTTTGAAGTGCAGGGTATGAGAAGGCCCTGCCCTGGGTTCAATCCCTAGTACCAAAAAGGGGAGAGAGTATGAGCAGGAAAATGTCTAAGCAAAGCAAATCCCCTCACTGCCTGGAATAAAAGCAATAGCGTATATTCTTCAGTCATGAAAAAATATTTACTGAATGCTTTGCATGTACCATTCACTGTGTCAAAGTGGTGCCTGAGAGACAATTCCTTCCTCATAGACTTTTAGAAACTTCTAGAAAGGATTTTTATTTCCCTATCAGAATTGTTTTCTGGAAGTATTAAAAAAAACACAACCCCTCCCCAAAAAGGAAAAAAGAATCTAAAAAACTGAGCAGTAATTATGAAGGAGGGGGAAAGACCCCATAAAACACTAAAGATGCAGAAAGGGCTGCAGATGTCTGCACTGGTGTCCCGTGGTGCCTTTTACAGATGTGGTCTAAGGGTCGCGGTGCCTTTTACAGATGTGGTCTAAGGGTGGTGCTTTGCAACTCTTCCTCCCCCAAGACCACTGGGGATACAGTTCAGCAGCATGAGCTCCTGCCTGGCAAGCACAAAGTTGTGAGTTTGATCCCCAGTACCCACCCCCGCAAAAAGACCATTGGGTTAAACAGGGGGCTGGAGCAATCTGTAACATGGCACACTTTTTTGCTGAAAAGATACCAAGCTAGTAAGTGAGGACAGTATATGACGATTTCCTAATGAAGTCAGGAAAATTACCTGAAAAACACATTTTATGCAGATTGCAGTTTCCAACAGATAAAGTAAAAACCACCATGCTTCAAATCCATGGTTTGAAAAGTATACAATAAACAATATAGTCACTCTGACAAATAAATTGTGAAGAGGAACCAGCAATAGCGGGAAGAGCTCCCAAACTAAGAGACTTTGGAGACTACCTGCTCTGGGTGCACCTAGGTCCCAACATGAACACAAACTCTTTATAAAAACAGTAGCTAGTGACAGTGGATCTAAATTTTATAAGCATGATATAACATGGTAGATAAATTTTTGTAAATTTGATAATGGTTATTTTCTTCTTAAATGTCCTTATCTTTCAGAGTCACGTACTAAAATATTTACAGTTGAAATAATATATGTAAGTCAAAAGAATTCAGATTTAAAGATTTAATGATATTGACATAAGTTCATAATTAATGAAACCATATGATGAAATACAAGCAAGCTGACTGTACTTTCTCTGTATTTTTTCATTTAAAGTTACCACCATGCTGTTTTAAAAATCTAGTCCCAAGGTACCATAGGAAAGAGAAATTTCCAAAAACTTACCACCAAAAGGTGTTGGAAACTGAGCCATGGTTCTGTTATTTTTGCCTTCCTAATCGCCGCCTGCAATTGAAACACAATGTTTAGGTTTATAAGAACTTTGCTCCTGTCTATTTAAAACATACTAATATGCAATCTTGATCAGAGGCCCGAGGCTAGAGGCAGGCATGGCTCCTCCACAGATGAAACATAAATGCAGGGAGTCACATATTCGTTCTCTGCAGTCTCTCTGAGTAGTGCCTGTGCAGGACTATGAGAAACTTTCAGTCTGGTAACAGATGCCAGTAGCTCAGGACAGCCTAGCATATCACCAGTGCTGTCCTTGTTACTTTATTTTTTTTGAGACAGGGTGTCTCTATGCAGTTCAGGCTGGTCTTGAGCTCACTATGTAGCTCAGGCTGGTCTCGAATTCAACGGTCCTCGGCCTCCTGAGTTCTGGGATTACAGGTGTGAGCCACCACACTGCTTGTCCTTGCTACTTTTTCAATATACTGTTTTCTAAGCTATCTATAGCTACCAGTCAGTCATAATGACTTTTTGTTGGGTACTTATTATATACTAGTAGGTGATTTATGGGCCTTAACTGTAATCATCATCACAGTATGATAAGAGGCACCTTTTCTAGCATCCCCCCCCCCCCCCGCGCCGTATAACAGCTGAGGAAAATGATGGGTAAGTTATTAAAGCAAAACCATCTGGTGACCAAGCTGGGATTTGAGAGCAGCACCAACTCCACCAACTCCAGTTTGTGTTCTACCCGTGAAGAACATTATCTGAATCACTGTTATGGATTTTGAGAAAGGCCCTAAATGATTCACATTACACTAATGTTATAGTTTGGGTCAAGCCTAAAGCCTCATGCGTTCACAGGTGAGCTTTTTCAGAGGTGGCTGTATCCAGGGTGTGTGATGCTGGAATTAAGAGTGTGTGATTACTAAATCAGCCAAACTGCTTGATTTGGCATAGTTCTAGCTAGGATTAAGGATGTGAGAGCAGCTACATATGCCATGGGGTACATAGCCTGCATAGTATATAAGGGACAGAAAGAGGCTTGTCACCCTCCCTTGTTGCTTTTGCTATCTTATGGACTCCATGAACTGTTCTTCTCTGTGATGACTTTCTGCTAACCCTCCCTGCCACGGAGCTAGCCATTTACTACGGAGCTAGCCATTTATTGAACCTCTACAAACTGGAAGGCAAATAAACCTTTCCTCCTCTAACTTTGGGTGTTGGGTATTCTGTCTCAGCAATGAAAAATACAACCAAGACAGAATTTGGTATCAAAGGAGAGTAGTCATTGCTGTGATCATACCTGACCATGTGGTTTAGGAGCTTTTGGGAATGGCTTATGGAAAGAGTTTGGAAAGGTTCAGAGATCCTGGCTGAAAAAGTAGAGCTGCCACACTTTAGGCTGGAATGCATGGGACATTCTGATCAGAGCTCCAAAGACCAGAACACTGACAGAAATCCTGCCAGTAGAAACCGGGCTCGGGAGGTTTCTGCTGGGGAGAAGGACTGCGAAGGATGCTGGACTCTGAACGATGTGAGTTAAACCTCGGCAGAAAGTTTTTCTGCATTTCACTCGTGGCCAGAGACTTTGCCTGAGACTGAGATTATGGATGGTGGCAGAATTAATCCATAACTGAGCAGAAGAAATTTCAAAGCAGTCTAATGTTGAGGTGGTGGCATGACTCCTGTTGGGGGTTTTTAGTCAGATTTCTGTTGAGAATCAAGAGCAAAGAGCTCAGCAGGATGATTTAAAACATTATGAGTTTGCCCAGAAAGGAAGCGCCAGTAAAGCTGTGGACTGCAAAGCTAGAACAGAAGAGATCGTGATTGCTAAGAAGTAGCAGGAAAATAGCAAGATGGCCTGAGGGCCTCATAAGGAGCAGTAGGGCTGGCCCTCTGCAGTCTCAGAGCATCACATTCCAGAATGGCGGCAGCCTAGGGAAGTGTTCTTTGGGATCTGGTTCATAGGCACACACCCCTACAGCCAGGAGAAGGAAGCCTGGCTACTGCTACGGCAGCAGACAGCAGCATCCATGTGGTGCTGATTTCAAAATGACCTTTTCAAAAGGCTTAAAATAGTAACAGACCACAGAAATAACTGAAAATATAAATACAGAAACCTCAGAAGGAGTCAAAATTTAAAATTTTTTAGAGGTGAAATTTATGAACTTCAAGGAACAAACAGTAACTGTTATAAAACCAACCCACAAAGAAAGATTAAGTATTCCTCAACCTGCATGTTATAAAGCTAGCAGTCTTAGTATTTAGAAAATAATTCCCACCCTATCTGAATCTCTTCCTCTGATGCCTTCAACTCACTATCACCAACATTCAACTAAATTTACCTTTTGACCCTTCTGACAGCCATCTCTGCTTTCCCTTCATTTCCCACCCTATACCTTGTTGTAACCTATATTAAAAAACAAAAAAACCTCATAAGTCTCCCCGGAGGCAAAAGAAAGATCAAAGGTAACTCTAAGAGTAGAACAGGATGTATGCCTAATCTAAACTTGCTTGTTGGCCCACCTGAACCTTGTTCTTCCCAAGAAAGGTAACCGCAGCGTTCCTGTTCTGTAGTGTGCCACAAACTCCACCCGCTGCATTGTGAAGACCTGCAGCTGTTTGCGGTTTTACGTGATAAAAATCCCGCCCCTTTAGTTGTTAGGCGCGCAGTCTTCCATATTGGCTGCTGGAGGCTGCGTTGCCAGGTCTGTGCTTTAATAAATAATTTTTTTTCCTTTCCAAATTATTTTCTCTGGATCCTTCATACCTCAGGAAGCGGGGGACTACCACAACCTGACACCTGAAAACCAATGCCTTTTGTATTCCTTTAGAGTTACTGGTCTCAACTAGCTAGGAGTAAGAACTCTAATAAAAATTAAATCACTTGGAGGTGTGAATGAAGGTGCACCTTTAAGGCTTATCGAGTAGCATAATACCCAAATGCCGGTGTACAGATAAGACTGGAATACTCCCATATACATTTCTCCTCTAACCACAGGTCCTTCAAATACCAATTCACAACTAGATTTTCCTCAGCTCCTAGGAACCCCAGACAAAAACAGTGAAACACAAATGAAGAAACTGCATCGAATCTTCCAAACCCAGCTCTATGCTACCCAGACAAACCATGGTGTGATATTTTAGTTTAAGATGTCCTGCTCCTATTTTGATATGCACTTATAATTTGGGAAAAAAAAAACATAACTTGAAAGGGCCACCACATTTTAGAAAAATAACCACATGTAAGATTTTAAAATTTCACACACCAGAGTTCCAGGGCTGCTACAGGAGTATAATCCCCACTACAAGCCTTGGTACAAACCCACTACAGACCCTCTGTCTCATTTAATACTAAAAACTGTGTTATGACCCAGCATGGTGTGCATGCCTATATTATTATCCTAGCACTTAGGAGGCTGAGATGAAAGGCTCATCACAAGTTCCAGGCCAGCTTCAGCTACATGATGAGTTCAAGGCCACCCTGAATTACATGGTAAGACCCTGTCTCAAGAAACAAAACAAATAAAACTCCAGTATAAATGCAAGGACTACTTGAAGACAATAAGAAGTAAACAAAAATAGGCAGATTTGAGAGGGAATCACAGTTTCCCCTTTCTTGTTTTCTCTTCCCCAGCTGCCTTGCAGTGAGGGTGAGCTCCAGCTCAGGAGCTATGCGCAGAAGCAGAGATGGAAGCTAAAGCTTCGCAGAACCAGTCTTTCCCATGAAAACAACCAACAAAAATGAATCATGTAGAATGTGTAAAAAACCAGACAGGAGAAAGCCGAAAAAGGGGATCCCCAACTTTGTGAATGAATCACAGTGGTGTCATGATGACACCTGAGCTGCAGCTATGCAGGATGGACCTATTTTAGGGCTCGAAAGGTGAACTGAGTGGGGCCCCTGTCCAGGGAACAGAGAGAACTGCAGCGCGCCAACAGCCTTCCACTGAGGACTAGGACAGCAAGCAGAACCTACAAGAAATCCCGATGGCCACAATGTAATCCAAAATTACTTACCTACAAAAACTAGGAAAACTTTCCTTCCCCCAAATAAAGCAACCAATGCATGTCAACTCCAAGGTAAGGCACAATTTGACATTCTGTTACAAAGACTTTAAAGTTATTATTATCCCTATATTTCATGAGGTTAAGGTAAACTCAAATGAAATAAAAGATACAAGTTCTCAGCAGAAACAGAAAAACTAGTTTAAAAAGTATCAAATGGAAATTTTAGAGAGAAATTTAGCACTGAAAAATAGAAATAGTAAACATGGATAAATGCAAAATTATTTTTCCAATTAAGCTCTTTAATATACATAAACTACTGAAAAACAAATATTATAGCATTGTCTCTTATATAAGGCTTTCCATTAAATACAACGCATATTGTAACCATAACTAAAGGGCTGTAGGGGAAAACTAAAAGGAATTAAAATGTTAAGAGCCCTATACAGCCAACTGTACCTGAAGTGATACAGTATCAACCCTAGGTAGACTATGAAAGGTCAGGTAAATACAATTAATCCTTGGAGCAATTACAAAAAACAAAATACGAAATGATACACCAGAAAGTCAATACAAAAAGAGAAGCGGAATGCTAAAAATCCAACTATGTCAAGAAAGAAACAACAGGAAAGAGAAAAATGGAGGAAGGACCAAGCAAAACCAATAATTATGGTTGCACGTTTGATTCTAAAAACAAATACGCTAAATGTGAATCTAAACAACAAAGAAAAAGACATGCGAACTAATTAAAGGTATGAAGATATGAGAAGATATAAAAGAAACAAGACAATGGAGAAAATTAGGCTAAAATCTGATTCTTTGGAGAAAAAACTGACAAACCTTTAGTGAGTAATGGGAAGGACAACAAATCATATCAGAAATGAAAAAGGTGATTCCTTCAATCCTAACATTTAAACCCCAAACATTTAACATAAATTCTAGGAACAACCTTTTGCTAACAAATTTGATAAGGGAGATAAAACAAATTTCTTAAAAATAAAAAATTACTAAAATCGGTATCAGGAGAAACAATATCTGAATCCTAT